CCTTTCCTTTTATCTTACTCTCAATTTTTGAAAGAGAACTTATTTTTTTTAGCTTTCTTTTGTGCTGTACAATGCTACATTTGGGCAACAGTATGCTTCATAGAGATTTCCAGAACATTTGTAATCATCTCTTCTCCCCTCACCCCTTCCTTTCCTCTCAGTTGTCATAGTTCCCTGCTTTTCTTATCTCTCCTTTTACTGCTGCAGCTTTCAGATGATAATGCACAGCTCGAGCACCAGCTGCTGCATAATAGCTGCAGCACCACTTAGAGCTGACCTAATGTGAGAATAAATGAACAAATCTGTGATTTGCTTGTAGGCTTACCTACAGCATCTTTTTTTTCAGCCTGGGTATATTAGATGTCATCACTGGAAGGTGAACTGTGGATGGCCTCCGTGGCATCCCCTTTCCAGCTGCTCCAAGGATTGTGGCACAACAAAGAAAGTTGTTGGGATTCCTAGTGCTTTTTGCAATCACCTGTTTCTAAACACGAGTTGCTTTTTTTCCCTACCACCTCTTTATTCTTGCTCCCGTGGCCAAGAGCAGGGCAGTGTGTGCAGCAGGAGCAGGTGGAGCGCCACGTTGCCGTGTCACGCTGTGCTTTGTCAAGCCACCCTGCTCATTTCCTTTCATTTCCGCCGGCTGAGCGAGCCAATGTTCTCCTAAGCTTTTGCACGAGGGGCCTGAGGCTGCAAAACCGAGCTGGGAAGTGTCCTGCTGGTTTAGTACACACAGCCCAGGCTTCCAGCTTATTTTGGGCTGGCTGCTGAGGTTAGCAGCAGCTGCCCTATCTGTGCTGCACAGATGCCTGGGCTGCTCCCCAGCTGCTGCAGCTGGTGCTGCAGTACTGTAAAGAAAGCTGTCACCTATTTGTGTCAGATGATTCAAGTGTTAATACTCACTGGGAATACTGTACCTGTGTATATTCAAGGCAGTAATTTAGGAAGGAAAAAATGTTCTATTTTACTTGTAACCAGTATATGAACTTTTCTTGCTATCACTGTTAGATACAACCTTACTGATGCTCTGCTGGTTTAAGGATAGAAACAAGTTAAGGTTTGTAGAAGACATATTAAAAGACAGTGTGTGTCAGAAGAAAGTTTGGCTGAACTACCCCCAGTTTTTTATTTCCTGTATTTCAATTGTAGACTTTGCTTTATCAGGGGAAGTACCTTTATTTTAAAAATACTTCCTCCATAACTACATTCTGACTTTAAGGTCTAGAAAGGGGAGATAAAATAGTATGAAGGTTACATGAGGCCTTAAAACTGACTGATTTGAAGAAAAGGATCTTGCTGCAGGCTTACTGCATGCTGTATTCTGCTCTCACCAGATGTATTTTCAGCTTTTTTTCTCATTTCCTTTTTCTTTCATCAAGCTCTCTGGTAGTGTTTTTTCCTTTCAGTAGGTACTGGTTGTTGCAGGGACATGAGGGATAAGCATGTTATATTAGTTTTATTTCCTTATGCTATTAGATGAGAAACACTGAACAGAAGTCTCCATCCACTGGGGATTAGTGGTTTAGAAGACTTAATAATACATTCAGGTAATTTTGAATGTTATGGTGTTTAAGCAGATCCATGCAGAGTTTAATCTTGTTTAGAATCAGAAGGTAAATGTGGTAGTCAAACAGCCAGTATGGATGAAATTAATCTCTAAGGCATTTTGTTTGATGTTGAAATATCAGTGATGGAAAAGTGAAAATGGCTGTCACGAAGCGAGTTTAAAAACTGGCTTATTAATAAACTTCATTAAAATTCCAAATGGAGAATGACCATCCAGTGTATATCTTGCTGTAGGGGTTTTGCTGCCATTGCTACTTAACCACATTATGTAACATTTCGTTAATGACCTGGAAGAGGTCATAGAATTGTTATCAGTAAAGTAGCCAGTTGAAACCTGAGGGCAGAAAATGCATATACAGTTGTGGGAAGCCAGCCTTGTGTGTTTGGGATTAGTGTGGTGTGTGGAAAGGGAAGCCAGGATCTGTGGGTGGGGGTAGGCAATTGGCAGGCCTTGGCAGTCAGTGACCAAAAGTGCCAGAGTGCTCTGGAGTGTTGTTGATAGTGCTGTTTACAGGCCACTGCCAGCCTGGTCTGGTCTGCCTTTAGAACATGGTATCCTTTGGGGTGGTGTTGTGGTGCAGCCCCAGGCAGCCACAGTCTCACTCTGCCCTGGTGGGATGGGGGAGAGATTCAGAAGGTACAGGTGAGAGAAAACTCCTCAGGTGAGATAAAGGCACTGTACCCATTGTAATGGGTACAGCTGAAGCTGTGCATGCCAGCACAGCAGAACAAGGAGTGAATCCATTACTTCCCACGAGCAGGCAGATGGATGTTCAGCTATCTCCAGGAAAGCCAGGCTGCATCACTCCTAGTGGTGACTTGGGGATACAAACACCATTGCTCTGAGCATCACCCCATTCTCCTCCTCTCATCTTAATGCTTATGTAAGGCATATGTGCACGTGGGCAATTCTGTGGTATTTAATAACAATGGCATAGTTAAACAGTTTCTTCAAAAGATTTGGCTTAGCTGGGTCCTCATCTGATCTGTTTTATGATGGTTTTATTCTTGTATTCCTACTAATGTTTAATCTGACTCTTGGTGAAAAGTAAGGATTGAATGGACAAGAGGGTGAATTTCGTCACAGGAAGTTGCCTGGAAGTTGAGGACATATTGGAAATATTTTTTTCCATAAAGCTTTAATATCTGTATAATACCTCTTGCATACTATTTGAAAGAGAAATCTTAATATTTGCAAAGTAATACCTTTCTAAGTGTTTGTATTTTTAGGCTTACAGGGCTGTAGGGATGTGCAGCTTTGAATTCATATTGTGCTTCTGCTGTGATTAGAAAAGTGGGTTATTCCAGTATTATAGAAGTAATTTAGTATGCTGACCTTATTATTTGTGTTATAAAAATAGTTTGGCTTGATATTTGGGTCTCAAAATCCAGCTTTGATTTTGGCAATTGAAGAATTGGTGGAGGGGGTTTGCTTGCCCGGTTTGCTTGCCATCCAGTGTCACTGAATGAGAATTTACTGTTTTTAACATCAAGATAAATTTTGAGGGTCAGTTCTACAGCTGATTTGTCCATAATTATCAGAATAAAGATTACAGGCCACATGCAAGTCAGACTTCCCTTGAAAACCTGGAGTAGATTGTTTTCTCTGGCTACTTGATTTTCTTACAATGTCAAAATTTTCAGATATATTGTGAAATGAGCAAACCTCCACTAAGATGGGAGAAGGGTGTAAATGGTCAGCAGGGTTTTTTTTTGTTTGTTTGGTTTTGTTTTGGTGGGGTATTTTTTTTTTTGGTGTGAGTTGTGTATTTCTTTGTTTTTTTGGTTTGGGTTTTTTCTTTTTTTTTGACATAAGTGTTTCATAATCAAGTATTATCCTTAAAACTTTAGATCACTTATGTTATTTCCCTCACATTTCACCTCTCTAGGTTAGTTATTTCTTAAACATTTGCTATGTTAGGAGAAGACCCCTCTGAAGGGTGTCATGTCCCCCTCCCCCTTTATTGTTGGCTGCTGCTGAACACACTGGCCATGAGCTGCTGAGGGTGGCTTCCTGTCAGAGTTGCTTCATGTAAAATCACAAGGAAGCAAGTGTTTCTTGCATCCTCCCATTGTGCTGTTTCCTGTGGAGCAGACTGGATGCATGTCCTGGATACAGGTTTTTTATGGCACTCTCCGTGTTGGGATGATCCAATCAAATTGTTCTTGGTATCCCTATAGTCTGAGCGTAGCAGGAAACGAGGCTTCCTCTCAACCTTTTGTTCTCAAGTTAGCCTGACTGTGGAGAGCTCTTGCCTCTATCAGAATCCAGAATGAAGGTGAGATTGAAATGGATTTAGGGTTGGGTTGTTTTGAAGTTTCTGTAAGTTTAAGCTGTAATTTGTAACCTTTTTAGAAAATGTTTCCTTTCTTAGTCATTGTCTTTCTCCCTTGTTGTCCCTTTCTGATCCAGTCCTGGTTTCTGCATGAGCACCTGTCTTGTGTATTTAATTCTTTTAGGATCAGGGCTAGGCTTTTGTGATTCTGTTCACACTTCAAGTTACTTCCACTTCCAGTTTGTTTAAAAACTACCACAATAAGTGTGCAGTAATAATGGAAATTTCACACTCTTAATACTTTCTTGTTCCATAGCAGCTTAATTTTTTTTCCCCCGATTTGAGCAGTGGTTAAGCTGATCTCAAGCCTGGTTTTGACTTTATAAATTATGCTGTTAATAAAATCTATCATGTCTGTTTGTTAAATCAGATTATTTTTTCTCCTTAATGCCTTTTTTGTGTACGTAGTCTTTCAATATTCCTTGTGTTTGAGGAAAAACCTTACAAAATTCACATCTAGACAATTCCCTGGTGCCTCTGCTTACTCCTTACAGCTTCAAATAACTAAGAGAAATCTTTTTAAATTATCTGTAGTCCAGTGAAACTTGAAGTACTTATTTGACTTTATTTATGTGAGCAATAACTGCTTGGAGTATACTGTTGTGTGGTTCTGACTGCTTGATGCTGTGTATGTTGTGTGGCATTGCTTTTCTGGGCTGTAAATGCTACTCAAGCTTGAGGGATGTTGGCACCTGTACAGCCCAGCTAGAACTGCTGCTTTCTGGGACCAGAGGTGATCCTCAGTCTGAGGGGGGAGAAATGAGCATGTCAATGTATGCAGGTACTCAAATAGTGTGGATGCACTGGGAGTTTTGTTCGGTTTTTTTTTTTTACTGACTAACACAGTCGGGGGTTTTTTTTTTTTTTTTTTTTTTTTTTTTTTTTTAACTGACTAACAGTTGTTAAATGTTTCCTAAATCTGTTCTACCTTTCCTGTGATATTGCATCACCAGTCAGAACTGGTCTGGCAGCCCTTTCTGTGGTTACTTTCATAGCTTTTGTTAACACTTTTGCTTCTCTTGGGTTAAACGAGCCTTTCTTTGTTCCTTTCTCGCTTCTCCCCTGGGATTATGAGTTTTTCCTCTCCTGTCTGTGAAGGCTGTTTTCTGGGTAAGGACTTTCTGATAGTGTCTGTGGGATGGGTCTGTTGTCAGAAAAGTGAACTGGTTTTTGTTGACTTTTTAGATAAAAGCTGCTTCATTGCAGAAAACAAAATATCTTTCTGTTTCTTAAATCAGTTGGAAGAACTGCAGCAGCTGTCTTTTATTGTCAGCTTTCTAGTCTTGGACAAAGGAGTACTGTGAGTTCTTTCAACCTATGCAGCATCTATTGCAAGAGCTATTTTTGTGAGACTTTGGATGAGTGTTTCCATTACCTCAGGCAAATATGGGTTTGTAGGGTTTTTTTCCTTTAAAAAAAAAAGTCCTCTTTTCCCCAAAAAATCCAGCTGTTTAATGTCATCACCCAGTGCTTGAAAGTTGCTGGAGTGTTTTCTGCAAGATAATTCAAGGTTTGGATTGCCTTACCACAGTTAAAAAAATAAAAATAAAATGAAACTGTCCTTTCATCTATCCTCTTCCTAAACCTCATCCTTGATCTAACCTGTCCAGCAATTAAATTCTTTTTAAAATTCATTAATGTTCAGGAATGCTGCTTTCCTCTGTCTTGTAAAGAGATAGCATGTAGGTTGTAATACTTCTTAAAGTATTTGTAGTTATTTTCAAAGTACATTATGAAAAATCAGGTATAATGCCTGTGCACTGCTACCAAAAAAGAAAAGTATGCCAAGAGTAATGGTACCTGGTAATTTTTTTTTGCCAAAATGCGTTAGGAAAACTTCTGATACTTATTTTATTCAACATTCTTGTAACTTAAATTGTACTTGATATTTTTGCTTTCTCAGTTCTTCAGTTTTTTTCAAATGCAGCTGTTGCTATATTATCTTTCCATTTAAAAGTGTCATAGTTTGTTGGGGTTTTAAATATTTTTAAAGGAGAACCCCCTTCCCCCCAGTTTTTCTGATTCATAATAACAGCTAAGAGACTGATACTTTGATCATGCTTCTGCAATTGTGGTTTGTATGTACAAGCTTAAAGGCTTGTTTCTATGACTTAACAACTTGTTTTTTGGTTCTTTTTCAGACTTTTGATGCAAATGACCTGTATCAGGGACAGAATTTCAGCAAAGTTCTTAGCTCTCTTGTGGCTTTAAATAAGGTGACTGCAGGTAAGTAGACTGCTCTGTCTTGTGCTGGCTTACTGCTGCTTTCACTTTGCATCAGTGTATATTTATACCTGTGTTGTACCCATGATGAGGGGAAAATACGCGGAATTTTAAACAAGCTTTTGTTGAAGTTCATGCTTTGAAAACTTCGCAGTGGCTCTGGGTTCTCTAGTCATGTCTTCTGCAGAAGGAAGCTTTGTGGTAGAGCTAAGGCTAAGCCTTCAAGCTGGCCAGCAATTAAGAAAAATTGTGTTTTTCAGAAAGGCCTGGTTTTTAAGTTATTTTCTTTTTTTTCCTTTCAAGTTTGAGCTACTGAAGTTGACTTTTGCTCCATTCTGTCGTTCTCCTATTTGAACAGCTTGGCAACATTTTTGCCCTTCCCAGCCTACATTTCCCAGTGCTATCCTTTCTTGCCAATAACAGAAGGATAGCCAGTGTCTTTGATCCCTTAAGCCACATATTTCATTCATTTAGCAGCTAGAAGTCATGAACCACTCACCTTAAGTTCTTTGGTGGGAGGGGAGAAAGCTGTGGAAATAACAGACAGGTGAGAGGTGTCCATTGTAGGGTGAGCCTGTGCTAAATTATGGCAACTGGACCCTGGGACAGTCAAGAAATGACATTGGCCCTTTTGGTTTCTTCTTGTTCCACCATCAGCAGCAAGTTTCAGTAATGGTTGTCAGGTCAGAGTCTGAGAGAGAGTCTAAAATTGAACCATATGTGTCAGTTTTTGTGTGAGGAAAAGAAGGTGATAGAAAAGTCAGTGATGCATAAGTGTTGCTTGATTTATTACTAATGAGATGAGTATCTTGTCCCATTTATAATCTCTCATCTGTTTCATGAGAGACTTTGTGGTTTTGGTGGGTTATTTTTTTCCCCTTGCATTAGAAAGCACCCCTTAAAATTAAGTTTTGCAACCAAATCTTAGTTGTAATGAGTGGGCATGGAGTAATACCATTGACTTCTTTGAAGCTGTTTACACCAGTTGGAGATACTGCCTCTCATCTCAAGTGTAAGTGCAAATGCAAACCAGTGCAGTACATCTTTAAAACTGCTGTACACGGGCCATTGCTGCCTTTGCTGTTGTTAAAGTGGAGAAAAAGTGTGGCTGTGTTGTCCAGATGTCTATGGATTAAGGCCTGTGTCAAAGAGTCACAACTGCAGCTGTTTGGAAGGGACCTGGGCTGATCCCTTTCGTGGTGGGGGCGTGTGGTGGTCGTATGGAAACCAAAAATCAAAACCACATGCAAACTGTGGTGTTGTCTCATTCCTAGGGGCAAGTATAAACATTCTTGTTCTTCCAAACAATTTTCATTAACTAGGTAATTGTGTAGCAGGCATTTTAGACTGTGTCTCTCTGCTCTAGTATTGGAAGGTGGATTTCAGATCCCCATGTGGATCTGCAAGAATTTCAGGCATACACAGGTTCTTCTGAGGTAGGCCTTCCTGCAATATGAGGAGTGTGAGTAATGGGCATGATTACTGATGAAGGATTTCTGTGGGTTTTCACTCCATTGCAGTATCAATCTCTGGAGTGGTAGGATCAAGGAAGGAGGCTGCAGCCAGCACTGAATCTGGCTCCTGGGAGCTGCTTCTGGTGCAGCCCCTGGCTGGCTGTGGCTCACTAAGCCACAGGACACACCCCCCTTGTTGGCTGGCAACATCCCATCCCAGGGATGTGCCAGCCCAGTGTCCAGGGCTGGGGCTGCCCTGGTGCCCCCAGCTGCCCACTCCTGGCTGGGATGGTGGGATGAGCCCTGTCCTGCTGCTCCCTCAGTGCCTCCCAGCTCACAAAGGACCCCAGCAGCCCCTGATGGCACACAGCCCTTCAGGTGAACACGTCACATGGGTGTGCTGCTCAGAGGAGACACAAATGCAAGAGAGGAAATGTTTTGGGAGGGTGTTTTTTATTTGAGAAGCAGCATTTTCTTCTTCTGTTCCTAGTCCTCCCTCCAGAGAAGAAAAAATAGCTTAGTTGGCAAAAAAAACCTGGGATGAGGCAAGGGAATGTAGGAAAAGAGACAGTGGAAGGAATGTTTTAATTGAGAAGAAGATGGGGGCTGTGGGAAGAGCTAAGAAACAGATGTGGCTGGCTTCACTTCAAGCAAGTTTTATGCAGTCAAAATTCTTGGCTACTAGCTAAAATGATGCTGGTTAATTACCTTTAAATAGACTGGTAGTGAGTAGGAATAGAGAAATACAGCCCTAACCCTCCTCTCTCTAAACAGGCCAAGTTGTTTTCTTGTCTGTGTGGGGAAGAAACTGTCGATGTCTCAGGGTTTTAGATTATTTATTGCTATAATTTTTTGATTCTTGAATTACTGAATAACTGCAGATACATCAAATCTGCTTTAAGCATGTGAATTTTACAGCGATAAGCAGAAGTTATAGATGCAGGTTGTTAAAATTCTAATATTTAAATTTTTTCCCACTCTCCTACAGACATAGGGCTGGGCAGTGACTCTGTATGTGCACGTCCCTCATCTCATCGGATAAAATCCTTTGATTCTTTGGGATCCCAGTCTTCACACAGTAGAACTTCAAAACTCTTTCAGGGACAGTATCGGAGTTTGGTAAGTTCTGTGTGAATGAAATATGCTGTGGTGTGGGGTTCTTTTCCCCCTTTTCTCTTTTTTTTTTTTTAAATGAGCTTTGTAAGTAAATTATAGTGTTGCAAAGCAACTCTTTCTTCTCTTTCAGTTCTGTATTTTTAGCCTGTGAGTTTGTTTTTGCAGCTTTTTATATGATTAAAAATACCTGCAGCTTTTTTGTGAACTTCAAACTATTTTTTCCTCCTTTGGTGCTCCATGTTGTCTGCATAGACAGTATCTTCCTGGATTTATGTTTTTTTTTCTCAGTGTAAGGACTTGGTGTTCCAAAGGCAAAAATCTCATTTTCTCTCTGAGTTTAGGGGTGATTGAAGGTTATTCAAACCTCTGTGAAGGTGATACTTCTAATTTTGGTAGTAGTGGTAGTTGTTTCTACTACTGTTTTTGTGTTATATGTCAAGGTTGATCCTTCAACTTGCCTTTGGGTAACTGTTTGGGCCATTGTTTTATAGTACAGCTGAATTCAGGGTTGCATGCCTCATGGACATTGTGATAAAGCATACTTTTAGTCACTGAAGGTTTGCAAGGAGGGTTGACATCCCTAATGAAAGCTGCTTTTATCCATGACTTTCTTAGGTGTGTAATGTGTTTTATCTGGTAGCAGAAGCTGTGGAAGTTTTTGCCCTAGGCCACTAATTCGAGCTCCTGTTCTGCTGTTCACAGCCCACTCAGTTTTGCACATGCAGCAACTGGTGGGACTGGCTGCTAGCTGGATCACTGAAGTAATCAGAGTTTTTAGTGTTCCTGTCACTTTGGTGATCTGAGTTGCTCTGTGCAAAGTTAGAGCAGAGAGTTGCGAGGAGGGAAAGAGCTAGTGGCCAAACCCAGGAAATCCCTAGTTTGGTTTTGTTGGTGTAGACGATCTGTTTGGAACCGTTCTCATCAGGTTTGTACTCATTTCCTCTGCTGGAAAGCCATGCTGGAAAAGCATAGGGTTTGTAGTTGATCTCACTGTGCAATGTTTCTGCTTACTTTGTGGCTTTTTACCATTTACTAAACCAAAACATTCTCTCTTGTTGAGCGGAGAGGATGGAAGCACATAATGTACCAGCACAGGACTTAAGGCAGAGGCACTTATTTGAAAACGTGCCAATCTAATTGTCAAACACTAGGGCTTACACTATCTTGGGACTTTCTGCATGTTTTCAAAGCTGTGTTTGCCCTCATTTTCCTGTAGTTTCTCAGCAGCTAACTTTGATGAAAGCCATATTGACTTGTGATACAATAACATGATTTCTGGGGTTATGAATTAAGCTGACATGTAAGATTCTGGTGACAACATGCAGTCTTTTCATCACCTCAGCTATACAGGCAACATGTAGGTGAAATTCTTCCACCTGGATAGCTGACTAGGACTGCTTACACAGTCATTTTCTCACTAAGCTATGTTTTTAGCTGTACAAGTATTGATTTTTGGTTATCATAGAGGCAAACATGATTTGTAGTGCTATTCTCTCAGTTCCCGTGCAATGTTTTTAAAGTTGTCCAAGTATTGCACTTTTTTAGCATAAAGGTTTGCCCAAACTCTCATGAAATGCTTGAATGTGTAGATACCCAAAATTGACATCCAGGTACAAAATGCTGAATTTGAAAATCATTAATTTGAAAGACTAATTAGTTACTTCAAAGAACATTCAGATGTTAGGACAGAGTGATAATCTGCCTTTGCATCCACGGTAGGGGATGAGCATGCATACTTAGTGTATATAGACAGCAGCAATTCTGACTCCTGCAGGCTTCCAGCTTTGCTAGCCTTGAGAGAAATTATTTGGGAGTACTTAGTCAAGGTAAGTTGCGTAACGCTTTAGTAGATTTTGTGAAAGAACACTCCTTCTTTGGCAGGCCATGGAAATTTGTACCTTCAGCTGTGGAAGCCACTAACCTGATCTGTTACAGGAAAAAAAAAGGAAAAGATTTTGAGCTGCAAAGTCTTGATATATGTAAAATTAAATTAAACCTGGCTCAGTTTCTCCTGCCTTGCAGCACAGAGAATTTTACGAAAACGCTCTGTAATGTAAGGCCTTTGTTTCTTTGTAGTTGTCCAAGGTAGTTTCAGTTTATGCTAGTTATAGAAAATGTATATGTTTTCTTTATTTTTTTTTGAGAGCAATAATTATTCTCATTTTAGCTGTTAACCCCTTCTGATTTGGAGGGGCTGTAATAAGTAAAATATATACTCCCATGACTGATAAAATCTGTAGATTAAAAATTCCAGAAATGATGGAAATGCTAAATTGCACCTTATAAAGGCTTTTGAGTAAAAATCTGTGGGGCCTGTTGTGTGTGGGGGGAAGGCTATTTCCATTTTATGGACATTTGTTTTGCTCATGGAAATATTGTTGAAGTCTCTAATGATCATTTTATTCTTTGTTTTCTCTTACTAGGACATGACAGATAACGGCAACCATCAGTTGGTGGTGAGAGCCAAATTTAATTTTCAACAGACAAATGAAGATGAACTTTCTTTTTCAAAAGGCGATATTATTCATGTTACAAGAGTGGAAGAAGGAGGCTGGTGGGAAGGAACTTTGAATGGAAAAACAGGGTGGTTTCCAAGTAACTACGTACGAGAAATTAAATCAAATGGTGAGTTTTGAAGGGGAGAGCATACTTGTAGAAATTCTTGCTTTGGGTAGATGTTGATGGTTGGTTCATTGAAACTTGTGATGTTTTTTGTTTAAGTTTGATTTTATTTACTGAACATCATTCACAGCAATGATTAATGCTCAGGAGCTCACACTTCCCCACCCCAGTTCACTGTATAGAGTGGCTTCTGAATTAGCAGTAAGCATGCAGAAAACTCCCCCATTCTGTTTGCTTGTCTGTCACATTTGGGCTGCTCTCACTTCCTTGGTCTGAATTCCTAGAGTATGGGATTTTGACTCAGAGGCTGACAGCCTTTGTATTGATGCTTTTGGTTTAAATAGTGAGAGATTTCCTACAAAACCCCCAAAAAATAAACAGGAAAAACCCCCAAACCTAACAAAAATTTACTCAATGCATCCTATTACTTAAAAGTAAACAACTGCAGGAAGGAAACCTAATTCTATCAAAATCTTCTTTTGAAAGCTAAAATATTTGTGATTTTTCTTTTTCTTTCTTGTTCATGTGCCTTCAGCTTTTCTTCATAAAAGCTTCATCCTTCCGCTGAAGTTTTATTTTGAACTTTTTACAGTCAAAGTGCTTTCTGTAAATGTCATCTGAATATCAGAAGTAACATTCCTTTTTAATCCACTAGGACATTGCTGTGGGTGACATAATTTCTCTGTCTCCTTTATTTCCTTCTTTTACCCCATGTCTTGGCTTATTTTCAGAGATTAGGGATAAGCCTGGTAGGATAAAATTACCCAGGGTCTCTGGAAGGCTTTACCACTGTTTCCTTTGTTACAGCTCCAGTGAAAACACACATCTTTTGGGGCCATGCTAAAGTCTTTGGCATGGCTTTTTTTTTTTTCTTCCCCCCATTATGAGGCAGCTATTCAGATGCCTGATTGCCATGAGGTTGCGGGAGCAAAAGTCTGTTTTAAAACTTATCTTTTCTTCTTTGGTTGCATCCTCTTATTTTCTTCCTTGATTTTATATCTCCAGTCTGTTGCTGCAAAATGCTAGTCTTAGATCTGCAGCTTCATTGTCCTTTTCAACCAGCTTCTCCCAGATATAGTCACAATGTAAGACTTGGCTTTAATGTTTTCTTTAGAGATCTCTCAGATGCAGCTTATCCTGAGAAACAATTCTTGAAGCCTGTTTTTGGTTTGTAGTGTTTAGCATCAGCCATGATGACTGTCTTGTCTCATTGTAATTCATTTAAATTATTGCTGCAGAGATTTGGTTTGGATTTGAGCAGTTTTGACCTCTTCCAACTCCTGGAACCTAGGCAGTCAATTAAGCTCCAGATTAGGAATGCTTTAACAGTGAACATGCAAGAACCAGAAGTTGCCAGTAACCAGAATTAAGTGGTTCTTGTTTTATTAAGAATGCTGCACTTGGGTGAAGTAAGTAGAAAGAGACAAGCTGTAGTGCCGAGTACAGTCTGATACTTGTGACTCCTTGCAACCCAGTCTGATCCCTGGGGCTGACATGGTTTCTACTTTCACTTCTTGCCCTCAGAAGAAAATTCTCCCGAGTCCTTTTCCCCTCTGCTTTATAGGTGTATTCTCCCTGCTGCAGCAGTTTCTCTTTTGGCTTCTGCAAGACTTCTTGCATTCTTGGACTGCTGTCCAATTTGTTCGGTTTCTTCTGTGGAAGTTTCTTCTGTTTGTGCCCATGCTTTTTTCTTCTCAGGAAGCTTAATTAATATTCATTGAGTATTACAAAGTTGAAAGGAGTGAGCTGTAGCTCACTAGCTTTCTGTTTTCCTCCTCCATTATAAAATGACTGTGTTTGGCTTTTTCCAGTACTTTATGGAACTTTGCTTGTCCTCTTTGGTTTCAGATATGGATATAGCTAGTTCTCTTATATCAAATCAGCACAACAGGTACTGTGTAATTTATCAAAATAGTAATTTTAACCTGCTTTTATGCATTTGTAGGTATATGTTTGAATTGCCTGAAGTTGACTTTTTTATGAGGAGGATGGGGGGTAGTAGAAGGAAGAATGACATACCAAGAGCTTCTTAGTGTTAGTAACTGTGGAGTTGCAGATTATCTTTACCCTTCATGTATGTATGCGTGCTGTGGAATGCTTTGTTGCTACTACCCTCATGTCTACGTTAGTTGTATCTTAAATGATGACCTGACTTCTCCTGCTTACTTTTGCTTCTTTTTGTGTGTTTGTGGTCAGTGTATATATCTGTAATATTTGCTCCATGTCAGTTTGCATCCACTTTTTCTGTTCTTTATTGGATATACCACTAACTTTTAAAGGAATTATCATTCTTGTGGGCCTTTTCTGCTTATGTTGTTACTAGTGGGACATCTTTTTTTACCCATATTTTTAAGTGTACTGAATTCTTCTTACTTGAATGTGTTTTCTATCAGTTTAAAATCTATTGATTTAAAAAAAAAAGATCCAGATTGGATTGTTGAAATACATGCTCTTGATTAAGGTCTCTCTGAAAAAAAAAAAGTTCATCCTGGACATATCATTTGTTTTCAACATTCTCTGTAAAATGGTCTGGCATTGGCAGTATGACTCTACGCTTCTTTCTTCTCTGAAATGTAGCTGAAAATACTGTAAATACTTAGGAGTTCTGTATAGGATGATGCATTCTATGGAGAGCTCCCAGGACATGACTAAATCAGCTCCTGGGTTTCACTAAATTAAATCCCCTCAATCTGCTGTAACCTGACTTGTGCAAATTGAGTAAGAGAAGAAATGAGTGAAGTCACTTATGCATGTGTTTTTGTTTTAATTCTCACAAACTATATAGGCATTAGGTGTTTAGATAAATGGATTTTTGTCCTAAATTAAAATTCTCTAGTGTGAAAAAACTGTAGATATGTAATATTAGCTTTTACAGTGGCTCTGAAGTTATATATTCAAGGAAGGGAAGAAAGAGATGTGTGGCAATGGGACTGCCTTTACTCACATTGATTTCTTAGTGTTTAGAAGAAAAGCAAGCTGCATTATGTAAATTACCTTATCATGTGATATTCTCTGCTGGTGTATCTCACAGTGGTTGTGCCATGGCTGTAACTTGTTTGTTTAGCTGTGCCTGAGTGATTGGAGTTAGCACACAATACTAATGAGGTGAGCTACAAATGGTTGTAGGACACATACAGAGAATGTTGAGCAAAGCAGAGCATTTCATTTTCTTAGGCTGGACAATGACTATTTTGGGGGAAAATAAATTTGGTTGAGAAGGAAAATTGCTACCCAAGGGGAAAAAGAATATTTGTTTGAAGTTGTTATAGTTATGATCAAATATGTAAAAAAAAGTACTGTTTTCTATTCAGGTACATGCCTACACTGTGAACTTCAGAAAAAAAGGGTCCATTTCTCTTTCCCTCCCCCCTGTGCCTGTGTTTTCATTTCTATTTTCAAACCCTCTAACTTCTTATGTGTTTCAATGTTCTTTGATCCCTAGTCAGGAAGTGCTTTGAAATGAAAGGATTTTGGTTTTATCCTGCTCTACTATTACATGTGACAGAGGGTAGAAAATAATGTGTAAACTTAAGATACTTGTCAGCATGGCCTTATTGAGGTTGTTTTTGCTTACATAAAATGGAACAGGAAGAGGTGAAGGTGTAGGTGGAGTCTCGTCTCTTACAGTGCTGCTTCTGTCTCACACGGTACTTAGAGATTTGGAGACCTAGTTTTGAGGGTTCCCTTGCAATGAAAAGAAGAGTGGTTAGCCAGAATGGGATGCACTTGCTTAGCTACTGTCAGATGTTAATCAGATTTTGAAAAAAACCACATGGTCCGTTACTGAGCTGTATCCAAGCATAATCCCTTTAAATGGCATGAGATTACACAGAAGGGAATACAGCTTTGTGCAAACTACATTTGATATGTCACAAACTTTATTCTAATTCTTTGCAGAAATTAATGTATCATTACTGCCCTAGTCTCCGTTATGCTTTCTTTACAGTTATTAGTATCAGGCCCAGTGCAAATGACAGTGATAGTGTTTCTTTTAGTTGGATGTTAAAAAAGCAAAATCAATGTGGGGAAAAGGTCAGAATATGGTGGAGAAGTAGTGTCAGCTGCTTCCATCCTGTGGTGTGTGAGGGAAGGAGAAATTACACTTTTGGCTTTGGAAAAAAAAAAAGCGAAGGAAAAAATAACTAAAACCCTGTGAAGAATGTTAGTTTTTCTCTCCCCAACCATATACACTCAGCGGAGTATTTATTTTCTCATGTCAAGTGTAACTCTTTAGACATCAATAAAATAGAGGTTGGGACCAGTGAATGCTTTTGGGGCAGAAGTGTTGGTAGTGTCTGTACTGCAGAGTGGAGCACTGCAGCAGTGCCTGAGCCCTCTTGAGAACTGGGAACAGGTTTTGGTCTGCCCTCCTCATGCTGGACTTGAACTGATTAGTCTAGGAAGATGGAGCTTGCTTGTAGCACTTCGCTATAGGGACCATACAGCTTTTGGTGTTCTTGTTGACTCATCTTTCCTCCCCTAACGTAGGATGAAATATCCGAAATTGGCTCTTTTTATCTAAATTATGCACCATGGCGCAGTAATCGCAGAAATACTCAGGGTGTTCTTGTAGCAGTAAGGTCAAAGTGCTTTAGTAAAGTCTGTTCTGAAGGGAATAAATACTCTGTGGAGTAGCACGAAGTAGAGTGTTGCATGAACATTAATATGGCCTAACCTGAAGACATGACAGAAGGGAGAGAACGTGGGAATGTCAGGTAATGTGAAAGCATGTAAGTTAGAGTAGAAGGAAACAGAGTGTTGGGAAGGATTGGGTAAATTGTCTTTTTACAGCCAATAAATAGACATCTGTAAAGAATAAGATAACTTCATTTTAGGGAGTTTGTGACATCTTAGGGAAAGGTTATAAAAGCAGTTGCTTCCACCGAGGATAATTATTTGCTGGAAAAGTAAAGTTAAAAAGCCTGTGCTACTCTCATTCTGCACCCAAATATGAACTGTTCAGTGAAGTCCATCTGGTTTGCCACTAGGCAATGCATTATCAAGTGTGGCTGAGGGCATTTGAATGTGATGCTTTGATCAAAAGAGAGATGGACGGGGTAACTTAACTCTTAGTTTCAATCACCAGCAGGATACCATCTCTTCCTGTACTTGAGCAGATGCCTGCCAGCTTTGGATTTGATCATATGCTGAGCCATTTTCACTGTGCTTTCAGTGTTAATATAAGGGATGCGCATTGTGGCTGCAGAAAAGTAGGGAGATGCAAAAATCTTATGTGTGGGAAAAGCTGGTGTCTGGCTCAGGTCACTCTCTTCCAGGGCTTTGAGAAATAGAGCCCCTGTGGAGTGGGCAAGGTGCCAGGGTTTTGCTGATGTTTCAAAAATCTATGGACTTCATGAAGATGTAGTCTGCTGAATAGGGATGGTGCCTCCTTGAAATGTTTAATGAAATATGCTTTGTTTGCAAAATACTCTAATGTTCTATTACCAAGGATAATAAATGACACTTAACCTAGCATAAACAAAGAAAGTGATTTCTTATGTTCAAGATCAGGATTTTCTTCTCTGTAATGCATTGTGCAATAAGCTAATTGCAGCAAGACTGTTTCTTATTCCTCATTATGAAGCAAGGCACTGCTTGGAGGCAGAATACCAGACATGATAGACAGATGGACTAATTTGCTGTGTCTGATTCCGTGTTTCTGCAATAGAAATGGCCTTTACATTTTAAAAGCTAAATGTTGATTATGACTGTTCAGGCAAAATTATGTGAATATGTGATTCTTTTTTTTCTATCCTGTCTTTAAATCTGAATTTGGACATGTGAATGTCTCTGATGGATAACTGAATCAGCTGAACAGCTGGCAATATAAATGACTCTATACGTTTCAGCATAAAAAACTCCCACTTTCTTCAGCAGCTTAAGGGAAGAGAGCTATTTTTGCACCCTTTAAAATAACAAAGAACCAGAATTCCATGATCAGCCAGCTTAACAATGGTCAGCCATCTGTATTATGATAAATTCAGTGAACAAGTATTTACCTTTATCCTTAAATAACTCTTGTTCCTCCTTTCAAGACATCTGTATTATGATAAATTCTGGGACAAGTATTTACTTTTATCCTTAAATAACTCTGGTTTCTCCTTTCATGCTTTTTGGCACATGATTAATAAACCTTTAGGTATTTAGTGAACGTGAAAGTCACTATAAATTGTAGGATAAGTTCAGGAGCTTCCACAGAGAATGAAAGCAAATTGCCAAGTTTGTGGGAATGACATAATTTTCATCATTCAGTACAAAGAAAATAATTTTAATTGTCCCATATAGAGAAGCATTATAGATGAATATATTAATGAGTAGCCATACATACGAGGTGATTTTAGGTCTTTTCACACTGAGTGTTTGATGGCAAATCTGCTTGAGTTTACAGCTTGGTTCTAAGGGGGTGGGAGGAGTCCTGTCATTTGGAATTACTTGGCTGTATAGCAGAGCACATGTATACTGCAGGGCTGGTGGCTGAGAGCATCAGTGTTCCCAGCTGGATAACTGCTGGGTCTAACAGTTTTTGTGCTGTGTGTCAGCTTAGATCCGACGTGGGGTGGGTAGGCAGGGGATATTAACTAAAAGGGTTTTACTGTCATCCCTGAATGTGGTAAGGAGATTTTTTTTTTCTTTGCATATGTTTGGCAGTTTTAAGACTATATTTTATTTTTAGATTAGCTTCTTTGAGGGGAGTTCCACTGCAATACAGAGCAAATCCCCTCAAAGATACTTGCATTTGTGTGCTTATGGGGCTGAGCTGCTCTTCATGGGCTGTTAGCTAAAGCCTCTGGCCTGCCAGGCTGTCCTGGTACTGGTGATGAAAGGGTGATCTGCACCTGGAGTGAGCTTCCTTGAGATGGCATCATGCATGGGCTGCAGCTGGGAGTCTGAAGAAGCCCTAAATTGCTCAGGAGAGGCTGGTATCATAGGGAGTGTTCTGCTTATGATGGTGCTTCCCCGGTCAGCTCTGGTGTCCATGGGAATTTTCCATAGCTGGCCCTTGGCTTGGCTGACAGGGCTTCTCCTGGAGAGGTGTTTGAGACTTGAATAATTTATTCTTAGCCTCAGGTATCAGGTAGAGTTAAATTATTCATATATCTTTATTAAAATGTGTTTGAAACAGGACCTTGCTTTTAAAATAAAGGTAGAGCTTTCAATAGGTACATTTTGGTGATGCTTCTGTGGTTTTGTTTGGGGCAGTTCAGTTGACAATTTCCTGTTTTATAGCTTGGATGCAAATTACTCAAATGCTTATTTGACATTTGCATGTTAGAGAAGCCTCATTATTTTAAAAGCATGCAGAAATAGACAAACCAAAGCACCAAAATATTCTGGTAAACACAGTCTCACAAGCATTCTCAGTTGGTTGAGTGCACAGTCAAGTGAGAGAGATCAAAAAGAGATGCTGCAAATCTTACTTGCTGTTTCTGCAGCATGCAGCCTGTTGCTTTTGATTTTCTCTCACGTCGTGTTTGCTCCTCTGTAATTGACTTAGAGAAGTGGTAGTGGTGGGAGGGAAGGCTTTAGGAGTGTGTTTTCTGTCTCTCTGAGCTGGGTCAGCACTTGGGTAACTCTCAGGACTGCTGTTTTGATCTTGCAGATTAATGTTACCCTTCTAGGAAGAGCGTGCATTACTGAGGGATGGATTCCCTATGGTTATAGGAAGGATTTATTTTTATTAAGAACTCTGGTCTCAAATGCATAAGTATTTTTATTCATAAACAGAAAAATATAAGTTGTTTTAAAAAATTTTCTGGGTGTAAGGTAAGTCACTTCACTAGTACAGGGCACTTGGGTAACTCTCAGGACTGCTGTTTTGATCTTGTAGATTAATGTTACCCTTCTAGGAAGAGTATGCATTGCTGAGGGATGGATTCCCTATGGGTTATAGGAAGGATTTATTTTTATGAAGAACCCTGATCTCAAATGCATAAGTATTTTTATTCTATACTTCATTAACAGAAAAATATGATTTGTTTTAAGAAATTATTTTCTGGGCGTAAGGTAAGTCACTTCACTAGTACAGTGTTTTGAATCTCTATTTTGAGAATGAGTGTAATGTCTCATCTCTGGAGTGTTCAGCTTTTGATTGGTCATTTGCTTTCACAGAGTTCATTAAATCAATATTGAAACTTAATACTGCTTTTGTTTGAAAGTGCATATATGGTTTGGAAATGCCTGTTTACTGATTTTTTTTTTGCTTGTTTGTTTTTTTAATTGCAGTCTATGACGACATCTTGTTTCTAAAAAATAAGTTTGAAAGTGCAAATTTTATTAACTGACTTTCTGGTTCCAGGAAAAAAAATGGCAGTTTTTCTGCTTGCCCTCAATGAGGCTAGAATTTCATTAATTGTGAATATATTGATTCTTTGCCTGTAGTTTCACCTACAGTTATGTGTGTTTCTCAGTGAAGCACCATTTTCACTGTATCTTGATAAATATTTTAAAGCAGTTTGTTTGACCTCTAGTGTTGAGCTGTGAAACTGCACCCCATTGACCTCAAAATATCTTTTATTTCAGAAAAACCAGTCTCCCCCAAATCAGGTACATTGAAGAGTCCACCTAAAGGCTTTGATACATCTGCAATTAACAAAAGTTATTACAATGTGGTGAGTGATCATTTTTTCTTCCATGTGAGCTGTTATATACAGTAGAATATCATTTAACTAAATGCTCTTATCTGCCAAAAAAACCAAAGGCAGTCTTGCCAGGAAGTACCAAAACTAGATATGGGTATTGGTGGATTCTCATATAAACAAGATCATTATTTAATAGAATATCACATGTGTGGATTCTTAAACATGGTGCAAAAATTACAGTCTAAAGTTAGTGAATGATTTGCATTAATGTAATATTATGCTCCTGTTTTGCTAGTTGTTAATTTCCTTTTTTTCTCCCATCTCCCTCATGTGACATCAGTGTTCCCTAATCTCCATGAATTACGGAAATTCTGCTGTGTTAAACTAATTAAGTATACTTTTGTCCTTTTTGTTGAATAAGAGATTGTTCTAAAATGTTCAATTTGCTTCCTTTGTACTGATGCTTGCAAATCAACTCTGTTGTTACCTTAAGGAACCTCTCCCTTATACTCTGGATAGGTTTCACAGCAAGGCAGTACAGGCAGAGTGAGCCTTTAGCACACCCCCAGGAATTCTTAACCTACTACTCAGACCTCTCTTTAGTAGATGCATGTAAGAAACGTACCCAACTCCGTATTTAAGTGTGTTTTAACCATGTTGAGAATAATTTGAGTAGACACATTGGGAAGCAAAAAAGCATCTTGCTGTTTTTGTTAAGCACTGCTCCCTGCTGGTGTAAAACCAAACCACAACCTTTCCTTTTCTTCCAAGCAGCTGTCATGGGTTTTCATTTTCTATCAGTTTCTAAGAAGGATCATAAAGCATCATTTTCTGTTTTCGTCTTGTGTGGTTGTGGCATGAATGGCACCTGGAAGAACAGAGGTCTTTTATCTGTAGTCCCTAATTGAAAGCTGTGAAGCAGCCTCCTGCTCCTCCATCTGGCTCTGTTCCTGCCTCTGCCAGTAGCTGCAGTTCTGTGGTGAAGGGAGGGCTGCAACTCTTTGGCTACTGCATCCCACAACTGCTGGTCACAATGGGAAGTATCCATGCAGGCACACCCTTCCCTCAAACTGCAGGAAGTAATGAGCTTGCTGTGGTAAATCCAGTGATAAAATAGTGGATTGATTTTATTTCTTTTTGTTTTCACTGTATCTCTTTATAGTATTTTTTTCTTTAAGTTATTAAAGTGTGTGGATGCAAGTTTAAGAGGTAGAAGTGTACTTAAGTGAAAATAAGAGAAAGTAGATGTTGAACTTGTTCAGGCACCTAAGTTATACCATACAATTTTGAAATATCACCTTTGGATTGTGTGATTTTTATAATTGCTCCCTGGATAGTCTTTTCTAATTGTGGAGGCTCAAGCTGCTGTACTTTGGGAAATACAGCTGTGGCTGACTTTTAAAGTAGTTTAATTAAAAAACAAACAAAACCCCCCCCAAACCCTAGTGACCATCATATATTTACTCTTAGGATTAGTTTATTTTATATTTTGCTCAGGTGCAACTTTTCTTGGTGCAATTAACCTGATGTAATGAGATGCCAACTGTTTTGACTGCTTGTTACTTAATAACTGTTGATGACATTGTAGGGGGTGAAAAGGACCAGTTCCTAATAATATACAAATATGTTGTAAATTACAGCACTGACCCTAGAGTGCTGGTCTTAAGTCTGTCTGCAATGAACTGGATAATTGTCGTTTGCAGATTTTTCCACAGTGTGGCAAATACCCCTACTTTTTTTTTTCTTTAAGTCACCATTTTATTCTTCTGGTTTAGAAAGAGAGGCTGTGCTGTATCTTGCCCGTTGTTTCAGAGAAGTAAGACTGCACTGCTGTGTCTGAAACCTAAATTCAACATGTTGACGTTTAGATTTTCTTTAAATACTTTTTTGTGCTTCTGATGGCAAAATATCTATAGAATATTTTCAATTTCTATTAAACACGTAAGATTTTTACATATTTGGTATGTAGATAAGACAAACAGCAAACCCATTCACTGAAGTGAACTTCTGAGTTGAGTTTTTCTTCTGTTTTAATACCTAAGCTGCAGACAGGGCACTTCCCTGTGCTGTATGTCATTTGTCTGTCCTGCTAATAAAGTTGAGGGAAAAGCAGATGATCTCTAAAAAAACTTTTGGCAACTAGTAGCTGAAAGGATGTAGCTGGAGTGAAGGAATAGATGTTAAAATCTTTGTTTAAGGTTCTCTTGGCTACTAAGCTTGAGTTGAGACTGGTACTCAGGGACTGTGTACTATTTTTGGGCTGTGGCTGTCCCCACATGCGGATGTGCTCGGACTCTGTAGTCATCATAGTTATTTATTGCTGCTTACCCTAGGGAAGGTTTTGTGCAGGCAGCACTTAAGGATACGTTTTTTTGGACTGAGGACAAAATCAAAGGGCTGTTCAGAAAGTGATATAAGAGGCTCCCTTTCTGAGAGGAGGATTGGGATAGGCTAAGGGCAAATACATTAAAATAGGAGACTGCTTTCACCACTTGCCTCTGCTCTTCTCCCCCTTGTAAACATGTTCTTTATTTCTGTGGATTCACAGCTCCGTCTGGAGTTCGTGAGACAAATCACATTCCTTCTAGTTTCAGTGTGCTTAATTATTGCTGCTTGCACTACATGTTGCTGAGAAGACAGGCATTTGTTACGTATGTAGATTTGGCCTGGCTCAGGAATTCAGGTTAGTAGAGAATGCTGAGGTTTTGTCCTCTACAAAATGATACAAGTCTGTAGTAGTGTGTAATATGAACCAGACTTGTGATGAAGCATTTTCCATGTTGAAGTAATTTAGTAGCCTATTACTGAAGAAGTGGGTGTACTGTTGCATGTTGTTCCCTGAAGACAGAGCAGGCATTACTCTGAGTTTTATTTTTGCTTCAGATCCCTTAAGAGTTTATAGCTCTGTATCCAGAATAAAATCAGGTTCTCTCCAGATTAGGTAGCTGTTCTAAAAGCAGGTGAAGAAATGGGCAAATTTCTTCACAGTTTGGTATTTGGATGACCTTGTTTCCTTTTAAGTGTTTGAGAAGTAGTAGAAAATCAACACTCCTTTTGAGGTCACACTTTTAAAGTTGGATCAAGTTGTCTACTGAAGCTCATATGTTTTTGACGCCCCTCAAGATATGGTATACTTGTGCAGTGCTTTACATTGCCCCTCTCAAGGGCCTGTTTTAAGGAGTAATGCAAATTCTTGTGATCCAGGAAAGTTACATACTGATCACAATTTGCTCAACGATGTGCTATTTTGGTTAAGTGCCACAGTACAGTGATAAAATGTCAGTGTGCTACAGGACCGTGTCCAAGTGTATCGCTGAACTCTGCCTTTTCTCTCACCAATTTGGAAGGCAATCATCTTCTTGTAGGTGACTTTAAATCCATTTTTAGGTGGTAGGGAGAAGGCTGAGGTTTTGTGTGTCAGAATTGTTAACCGTGCTAGAAATTTGTGTGCCATGTGATTGAGAGAGCTGGTGCTCTATGAGCTGAGTTGTGTGTGCTGCCTTTCATCAGCGCTGCGGGCTGCAGGGGCTGCCACTTCCATGCTGCTCTTTCGCTGCTCGGGCGGATCTGTGCAAATGTTGTGGTGGAGTTGTGGAAACCAGGTCCTGGAGGTCGCATGGGGTCTTGCAGCAGCCAGAGTGCGCAGAAAGCAGGAAAGGGAAGAAAGGTGATTATTAGATCATGCGGACGAGATGTGGATGAGAGGAATGTAAGGGATTTCTGGTGCCAGAATACTGAGTTGCAGTAATGACTACTTGTCACTTCAAAGCACAGTCCAATAATCCTCATAACTTCTCAGTGAGGTAGGTAAGTCAAACTGGAAGAATGCAAGATATCACAGAAATTACATTTTAGAGCTATGTAAGCAAGGTTTCTCTTTAAAAAAATGCATTCAAAGTAAAAAAAAAAGTTGCATGCAGTGAAAACTGTACTTGTTAAAAAGAAATGGTAATAGATTTAATATGTTCTGAGGACTGTTGAAACTGTATATCTCAAGTACTGTGCAACATTGTGAATTACTAGAATAAAAAGATGTATAAGTGCATCTGGTACTCTGCAGAGGTTTTGTAGCATAGTTTTATTTACAGTAGCATTAATTTTCCTTTTTCCACTAATTGTCAGGTTACTGATTCTAGTTTTTAAGGTTTCTTGTTATTACCTCTCCCTTCCCTTAAGTCTTTTTCCCCTAATCCCGTGTTCTCCATATGGCAAAGAAAATCCTCAAAGAAAAATCCAAACCAGCACAAGGAAAATAATGAAGTGTGTCCAACATGAAACTAGTTTTATTTCAAGCTTTTCAGACAGCTGTTTATAGCACAGAATGGGATTAGTCTTTGAGAAAATGGGGTAGTGGTGCAGTCTTTCAAGATCTTTAGCAAATGTGTTGATTTTTCTTTCAGTGTCTTTTAATAATGTTTGGGTCTTCATCAGGACACTATAGTTTTGTCCCTGGCTTTGTCTCCTTTTCCCTACTAATTTTTCCTGCCAGTGTAATGACTTTGGGCCGGGAGATTTTTGTGGGAAAAACCATATTGAAAAAGATTGGTTTTGAACCTCATGGATGCCAAGTACTTTTATACTGGCATTTGAGCTTTCTTTGTTTGATATGTATGTAAGAGAATATGGAGTTAGTTAGTGCTATGATTGGCAGAGATATTTTTTTCCCTGTTCTAAACGCTTGAAAAACCCCCTTAGCTTCTAAAAAATTTGTGTGCCCATATTGTACTTTATGCTGTAGTTTCCCAGTCAGTAGCCATAACTTTCCCTGTGACATTCTTCTGTCACAGTGTTTAGCAGAGAATGGAGACATTTTAATCTTCAGTTCAAGATTCAGACTTGCAACAAAAGAATGGACTCAAAAATGGTTTCTCTCTCTCTCCCCAAATGAATAGAAGCATTCAAGGAATAAGCAGAATCAGTGACACCAATGAAAGGAACAGTGAATTCTTCATTGACATACTGAACTATTTAAAGTTATTTCATCAGGTTTGCATTTAGGAATGAATGGCTTTTTTATTTTCTAAGAGAGTATTGACTACAACAGTGAATAATGCACTCAATTACAGTTGTTCTTATAAATGCTGAAATGAGATATTACTGTAGGCTTGACAGATATGGCATGTAACAAAATGAGGTTTGTGCTGTGGCTTATTACCACTGACTAGCACCAAGTTTTTGAAGTTCAACTCTGTTCACTAAACTGCATTTAATTCTGATGATTCTCTTGCTAAATAACTTTGGGAGGCAAAAAATAAATTGCCTTCTAAAACCGCAGTAGAATCTTATATGATTATATTGGAGGGTATCCTAAAGCAGACTCCCAAGAAATGGCCCAGTAAAATGCTTTCCTGTACATACTTGGGGTTTTTCTACTTGTCTGATTTATATTCAGCCAAAACCCAGGTGTGTGCTGTACTTTATACATTCCTGGCTTTGCAGCAGTCTATTGTAATTTTCTTATGGTGATGTACTTCCAGTGCAAGGTTAGGCAGCACTATTTAAAAATAACGTAATAGTGCTAATTGTATTGGTAAGTGAAGTTGGAAATTACTTGATCTTTGTAAATCTGTTAATATTCAGGTGTTCTAGCAGGATATTTAGTGCATCTGAACACTCCATGAGCAACATTAGTTGCAATGTGTTGTAATTGAGACTGAGAAACTGACGCTGTTCATTTCTCTTGCACCTTTTGTTGTGCTTTACCATCCTCTGATCTGTATCTGTTCTGAAGTACATAAGGGGAATAATTACCCCTGCCTTTGGAGGAAAGCTCTGTGCAACTCAAATTTTGCAGCAAAATGTAGTGATAATCCTGTAAGCTTACCTTTTTTTTTGTATATAGCTAAAGGATGGCTCATCTGGTGTTGTGTGGTTTTTTTTCCCCTGTGAATTTCATAGATGCATAGTATTCAATATCTGCAGATATTTGCATTTTTAAAATAGAAACTCTTATTTAAGTTTTTCTCATGCTAAATAAATGTTAGTATGCTTTAAAGCTGGTATTGATATATCTTCAAAAGTACCAATTAGCAATTGTCATTTATTGTAGGTGCTACAAAATATATTAGAAACAGAAAATGAATATGCTAAGGAGCTACAAACAATGCTTTCAAACTACCTGCGACCATTACAAGCCAGTGAAAAGTATGTGAGTTTGTTCTGTGTTTTAAATTGAGATCTGACATGTATTGGGGAGGGTTAACATGGTCAAAATGTGGATGTCAGTGTGAATTTACCTCTGTGAACTGTGTGATTCTTGAGGCAGGGATTGCTTTTATTCAGTTTGCTTGCTGACTGAAACAGTCTGGTCCTTGATCTAAGAACCAGCAAGCATTTTCTTTTAATGCAATAGATAGTATTAATGCATAGTTACTCAATAGCTGCAAACCTAAACATGTTTTATTTGCTTTGGCTCCAGGTTAACCTCGACAAATACTTCATACTTAATGGGAAACCTGGAAGAAATAAGTTCTTTCCAGCAAATGCTTGTACAGTCTTTAGAAGAATGCACCAAGTAAGTATCATGCATACTGGATAGAGTAAATGCTAACATGCAAATATCTTCTATTAATTTACTTGTTGCACATTTTATTTGGTATAGATTTTTTTTTCCTTCAAGAGTTGTTGCCAGAGCAGCACAGTAATAGATGTTTGGAGGTTGTTTGTACAGATATATATTGCAATTACAAAGATAGACATTTTGATATAGTTTAAAAGAAGTTTTGGATTTTCATGATGCAAGTGCATACCAGTAGGAAAGTGGTAGTTTTGTTTTAGGGGCATGAATTTTAAATATTTTCTTCAAAATAAGAGAAGGAATGGAGGAACCTTATGCTTGTACAGATATATATTGCAATTACAAAGACAGACATTTTGATATAGTTTAAAAGTTTTGGATTTTCATGATGCAAGTGCATACCAGTAGGAAAGTGGTAGTTTTGTTTTAGGGGCATGAATTTTAAATATTTTCTTCAAAATAAGAGAAGGAATGGAGGAACCTTATGCGATGGTGGAACAATGGAGAAGGAGGTAAGTGACTTGGATGAAGGACACTGTATGAGAATGCTTGTACTTGGTATTCTTCTGGCCTGAGCAGAAGTGGTCATCAAAGTGTGCTGGGAGAGGTTTGCAGGATAGGCAGAAAGAGCAACCTGAATTAAATAAAACCCCTCAATGCTTGTCCTGCACCATATAGGAAGCATGGGACACAGAAAGGAGGGCATGAAGACACTAATCTTCCTTCCCTAATTTAGGCTGAAGTGGGAACTTGATATTTTTCAGCTTGTTACCTCAGCACTTGGGTGTGTAAGAAAGGTGACCATACTGTCTTTGGATTGTCCTAATAATTTTCTGAAACTCCACTGAAAGTGTAATTTACATTCCTAACCTCAGTTGTGTCGTTTTCCTTGCCTGTATTCTAGTTTTGTCTGACCACATGGTGAGCTAAGGCAACTTCCTAAAACAAATTTTCTTGGTTTCTGCCAAGTTAGTAATTTGAAGTGGTACTGAGGGCTTAACAAGTTTCAGTTTGCTGTGAGAATGAATTAATGTCTTGGATGGAGAAGAAAATACCTCTTTTGGCAACAGTGAGCTTTGCATCACCTCAGTATGTGTTGTTTTGACCTCTCCCTCCTCTCCCTGAGCTGCTCTGTGTGAAGAAGCAGCCTTGTCATGACGAAGGATAAGCCGCATCTCCACCAGGCAGTAATGTGTGCCTGGTGCTGTTGCTGACTTCAGATCCCACGCCCTCCCACCACTTGCCTTCTGTCCCTCCCTCCCTCCTGCCTCTAGATAACTTAGACCAGAGAGGGGGGAAGGGAGGATGGTGTGTATTCTTGAACTAGACCATTCTTGAAATGGTCTGTCTGATGCTGTGAGAAAGAAAGTCATTCTGGCAAGTTTGACTTGGTCAAATGTCTAAATCTCTGAAAGTGTCCGTTTGTCAACATACTCAAATGTTTCCTTTTGTTTCTTGTCACTGCTCTTTATTGTCTCATTTGCTTGTTACCATGATTTTGTTTCTTTGTATCAGAAGTTAGGGAAATGAAATACTTTGCATGGAACAGACTGTCATCTTTTAAATTTTTCTTTAAGGTGGTCTTAAAATGAGAGGAAAAGAGTATATACCTTTATAATATACCTTTAAACAAATATTAATGCAAACTTCATTTCAACCTGCAATGTAAGTTAAAGTGATATCATAATGGGGCTTCAAGCTCAGAAAACTTCATTAATAATTCTGCTTGGCTTAAACTGTTTTAAAGCACCTTTTCATAATGTCCTTTATTTCTTCTTTCTGCTAAGTGAAATGTTACTGTATAATAAACTAGAGGAACTTTCTGGATACTAGTAGGTGGGCAGAGAAAGTGATCCCCTAGAGTTACTGAAGCATTATTGCAAACATTTTGTCTTATTTTCATTTCATAAATATGCTCATCATGCTGAGTTGTATTTTCAGTTTAATTTTCATCATAGCACATTAACTTGAGCATACAGTATTCTCCTATTTGGAATCTAATCCACTAATCCATCATGATTCCCATCATGTAGAAGAATGCTTGCTCTGCTGCCTTCTTGTTTTTTTCTTGTCATTTTGCCATGTTTTTTTGGCTGGTGAACCTGTTCTGTAAACTCGGACTAGCTCCCAGGCTGAAAATAGATTTATCATTTTATTTTATTTTTGGCAGAGAGCTTATAGTTCCATCATTGAGGCACTTCATATTGCAGCATCCAGTGTGGTGTTTTATTCTAACTTGACATGTCAGAATGACCAAATTCTGTCATCCTGCCAATTGTAATGCTGCCAGCCTACCTTGCTTGACAAATTCCTTTTCTTGGGCATGAGAATGAAATGTTTTTTAAATTCCACACCCACCTTGAGACAGTTTGTAATTTGAGTTCTCTCTTTAGCAAATCCTGGCATGTACTTTAGTGGGAGAAACTTTCCTGTGCTTTCCTCTTTTTTGCCTGCACCACTTTGGCTTGCTTAGTCCTCATGGTGTTAAACATTGGGTTGTGGGGTTTTTTCAGAACATAATGCTGTAATGGGTTCTTTGTGTGTTTGGGGGAAATGGTTGTTTAGATACTGTTCGAGTTTAGTTCTGTGCCACTCTCCCACCCTGCCCACAGCCTTGAAGGACTTCTGATTCATTGGTAAAGGTTTGTCCTCTTGGAACTTGTTCAGGTTTAGGTTTTCCTATTTCCACCTTTATAACTTCTCTTCTTAATTTACCAAACAAAAGTCGTGTATGGAATAAATCTAACTTGCATTGAGTGAGAATCTTCTAGGTGATAGGCTTCAAAGGTGCTTTTTTTTTGGCTGATCAGCTTCCAGTGCACATGGTTCATGGATGGAAAAGAAATTGTAACAGACAAGGCAGAGAGATGCTGTTGAAGCCTTCAGTTGTGAAAGAGCAGATTTCTGTCAGTGAAACATAGCAGGAGTGCTCTGTGCTCTGGTCTCCTGAAGACAAAAAGTGGTCCAGTTCTCTAGGTCTCATTCCAGATCTGTGGTCCTGTGCCAAAGATCAGCTCTGCAGTAGTTCTCAGCAGAAGAGTTTCTGTGAACAAAGTCAGTGTCCATCAGGTGGTCTCTGGCCTGATACAAATTATCTCTATTGAAAGTGTTGCTCTTTGGGTATTTTTGTAGCAGGAGAGTGAACCTGATTTGATCTCCTGCTCCAAAAAAGATTCTTTCATTCACCTGGAAGTAGATGCTGTCAGTCCATGCCTGTATTTCTCAGTAAGGAGGGACACATGACACACAGGCTGGCTGGTGACATGAGCCTCCATGGACTGCTAGATATGATCTCCTGTAGCAAATTGAAGTCTTTTATGTAGTATCACAGACTTACCTCCTTGCCCTGTAACAGCCATAGCTGGGGTTTGTCCTCTTTCCCTCATGTCCCTGCTCTTGCAGTCACAGGAACTGTTGTCTTGTTCTGTGTCTAAGTGCAGGCAGGTACTTGGTGTTTGGGGATGATCCTGAGGTGGAATGGAATTTAAAAAAACCCCAAGCAACAAAAGCAGAGAGGAGAGGCTAGAGTGTGAGGGGGAGACTATTTAAATCTAATCCAAAACTCATCAACCAGTGTTGCAGGTTTGGTTTTGGAGTGCAAATACAAATTAAGTCTTTTAAGTCCCAGTATCATCCTTTACTTTCGGTTATCATGAGTATCAACAGAAATAAGGCTATCAATATAAAGAGAATTTGATTGCAGTGTTTTTAGATAGCCTGAAAAAAACATGCATAGTTACTGATGTCTGAGAGCTCAGACAATTAGTGAAAGGTGTGGTAGTGAGGAGGGTGAAAATTAGACTGAAGGATTGTGAATAAGGTGAGTAGTGACTAATTTGTGCAAGGAGTCTCTCAGAAAGTTGCAGTGGCCCCTTATTTCAGTAACCCTGTCAACTGCAAAGCCGCAGGAGATAATGTTTAGTTTTTTTACAAACTGCACCCTTTGGGGTTCAATTACACTTACTTTTTATTCCTTTCTTCAAATTACCATGCACTGGGTGTCTGTTGTAAGTCTGGAGAAACAGAAGTGATAGCTGCTGGATGCAGCTCCAACAGGCAGACAATGTTACGTAGTTTAGATGTAGTCACATGGTGATTCCTCTAGCATGTGTACAACAGCAGAGGCTTTGTTATGGTTCCTTCACATTTGCAAATAGAATTAAAACATGTATCTGGCCTTCTTTTAATGGAAGTTGGTATAACTTAGATATATGTATAAATATTTATATGTGATTCCTTTTTAATTTAAGTGTTTAATATGAGAATAATGTTAGGATGATAACTTCAGAGTAAACTGTAAATAACTGTGGTCTTTATGGAGCACATTAATTACTAAAAAGTTGATATGATGTAGTGGTAGGCATTAAGTTGTTGATTTTTTTCAGCAAGTAAAGAAGATAGTTTATCTGCTGAAAATAGTACAGCACTTGCAACTAAAATGCATGGATTAGAAAAGTCAAAGGGGATGAGTTATCACCCCCTTAGAAAGTCTATTAATTATCTTAATTCAACAAAGAATGTGCATTATAATGTGGCAATGCATGTGCAACATGTGAAAGAGAATAATGTCAGTCTTTGATTCTGCTAAAAGAACAGCAGACTGAGAAGACACAGATGTCTGCTTGGTGCAAACAGCCATAATTCATCCTCCACCCCCATCACTACAGTATGAAGCGGGAATTTAACCATTTTTAGCAACTGTTTATTGGAGCCTCTTGCTATTTAATACTGAGTTATATGCCTTGAGTATGTCTTCAGAGTTTGAGACTTTGGCTGCATCTATTACTCGAAGAATGTATTATTAGCTCGTGCTAGATTTATTAAAGGGGGCCAGCTGCTTGGCAGGAAATGCTGCTTGGCAAGGCTGTAAGAATAGCATTCCCTCAGTGTGCTTGGTTTTCCTCTAAACACCTGCAAAAGCAGCCACTCTATTGACTTCAGAATTTAAACTTCTTAAAAATAAAAGATGCAGACTTAAAATATGAGCCCTAGCCTTTGACATAAGGAGTGTGACCTGAGTGTGTCTGGTGTTAGCTGGGGATTCAGCTGTAGATTTCTCAGTGTCTGTAATGAATGTTGCTCTCAAATCAGAGAATGTTTCCTCTGACTCTAATTTTGGAACACCTCTACAGTCAATTTTTACTTCATTTTGGGTAGTCTTCCCATACTGTGCAGAGGGACTGAACAGTTTAATAGGAGACAGACTTACTGTTTTGGAATTCGGGGGAGAATTTCTTGGGAACTTTGAATTTTGACTTCTATGAGCAAACCTAAGGACTGGGACAAGATGATTGTGTTTGAACAGAATGGGAACATCCCCTGACTGCAGGAGTGGCTCTCCTGGAAAGCTGAATGGTTTCTTTCCCATTGAAGTTCACTGGAGCATCTCTCACTTTTTTCTAAAGGGGAAATGCTTAATATTGATGTTTAGGAACTTTATGTACGTGTCTGGGACAGCTACAGAAAATACTGAGTTCTGTAAAATTTTTTTTTTAGGAAAAAAAATATTCTTCCAGAAAGAATTGTTGGAACTAATCTTAGAATTAAGCTCTTTGACTGTGTTAACAGTATTTGCATCACGTACTCATGAGGGCTCATTTAGCTTTACAGCTCTTCATTCTTCACTCACAGAAGTGAAGAATGAAGTACTGGTTTTAAGAGTAGTTAAAAAGATTAACAACAACAGTCAAATTCCCCTGTCACATCTTGCAAAGAAGCAAAAATTCAGCATATTTATGTTAGATAATGCAGCCTTTATGGAAGGAGAGCAAGTGCATGGAGAAATTGAAACATTTCATCTTGCATACGTTGTACAGTGGTTCAGACAAGGTGTCAGGAATAAGTTTATAATCTAGGACTGATGAAAGCTGGTGGCCCATATTCTGGTTGACTTCAGTGTGGGTTTGCAATTGGCCATACAACCTTCTGCTGAAGAGGCTTAGCCCTTCCAGTGGGAGCTGCTCTGTAGAGAGTTTCATCCCTTCTGTCACCCTTATGCTGTTGCACAAATCCAAACCATGGTCTCCTACCAGCCACTGTGAAGAAAATTAACTCTACCCCAGCCAAACCCAGCACACAATATACACTGCTTTTCTGGGCTTTAATTTATTTTTGTCTGGTTGGTATTACAGTATTTTCATCTTTATTACTCTGTTTTTAGGTTGCCTGAAGCTCAGCAGAGGGTTGGAGGATGTTTTCTAAATTTGATGCCACAAATGAAAAGCTTATACCTTACATACTGTGCCAACCACCCATCAGCAGTAAATGTCCTCACAGAACACAGGTATGTTAACTTTGTGCTCTTCTGAGTCTGATACAGAAATGTATGTAATATACACTTGAGTTGTAAAGCTGTGATGCCTCTTTTGACTTGTTTGTTGTGGTAGAGCTTGTTTGAGAAAAAAAAACCCCTACACTTTAAAATAAAAAACTAAATGCCCCATAAAACAAAGCTGTCATGTGGTCAGGACAACTTTTCACTTTTGGCAGTATTATCAACTATTTGAGAGAATTTTTTAATTGAAAGGACATGTGCTGGATTCTGAATATGTAAAACAATCTTTACTGATTGTGGTCTTTGTTTTAAAAATGTTGATATAAAAATGAGTTTGTGAAATTATGACGAAAGCTGGCATGACTTAGGCTTCTTAGATAGTTGGTGCATTGTAACTTAGCCTTCTAAATGCCTGTATATACTCAACTTCAAAGTGTATTTTATCCATGGCTTTGCTATTGAGTGGTATGAGAGAAGTGTGAGGTTTACAAAATTACTATTTTCTGTAAGAAGTAACATGCTTAGTTAACATGATATAGTTGCTCAGCTTTTGGACAGACCTTGAGGGAAAAGTACTGAGGCCAGAATTGGATTAAAATAGTCAGCTTTCACCAGCTTTTGCTGTATACTTGTATTTTGATGACCCTTGTGCTGAAGCAGCTGTTAGTTTGGGGCTATTTATGCTTGCTTCTGGTCCAGGACAGAACCATGACTTCTTGGAGGGTAGCTAGAAGACAAATTCTCACAGGATATATGTTCTTCTTGCTTCACACACCCCTGTCCTTTTTATCTTGTTGCATTGGACTAAAGTAAAGATATTTTGAGTACTCTTAACACTTAGAAGACCAAGAGGATCACAATGGATTTTTTCCTGTAGTGTTAGCTTCTTTCAAGAACTCAGACTTCATTTTAACAGCGACATTGTGGCATGTTTGTGAGCTTTTACTCATAATGTTATGAAGACAAAAAGCCTTCTAGTTACCAAAATGCTCTTAACTTTCATATATGTTAATAATAATGATATTCCAACCCCAGCTGGAAAAATCAAGCTGCAAATTCACATTACAGTATAGGCAGAAAGAAGGTAAGTTTTTGTCATTAAAATTCAGCAAGATACAAATATTTTTTAACCCCTGTGATGAAATCCCTATGTGTTTGCTGTCTTTCAAATTACCATCTTAGTACCATTTTCTGTAAATGTTTTTAATACTCTTGGGATTAGATTTTTTTTGTTTGAGTCTTTATGCTCTTTTCCAGAGGTCTGAGATTTAACCTATAGATGGCAGATGACATCTGACAGCAAAGTAATCATCTACATTTTTTAGATTTGGGGGTGTCTGTAAAGGATTTTATCAGAACTCAGAGAAATGGTGATAGAAATGTGAGGAAGGAAAGCTGTTTCATCTGCAAATGGAGAAGAGAAGCATTTCTTCTCTTTCATGTTTCTTTTTGTGTAAGATGTCCTAAGAATAATTCAGCTTCATGTCTCTAAAGTCAGCTTGACATCAAATCCTGGTGGAGACAATATAAGTATGATGGAGGAGTTCAGTAATTTAGTTGTGGAAGTTTGTATGAGATAGCTCAAGGGAAGAGAAGTTGAGATGGACATTTTTCTGTTTAATGCTATTGTGTTACTAGGCATGAGTCAACAGAATTGCATCCTATTCTTTCTAATTACCCCCATTTTATTATTCTGTTACCTTAATTTTTCTTGTTCAACATTGCTGTAGGTAGCAAGTTGCCTAAGTATTCTGCTTGAGACAGCTGCCATGAAGAAATCAGAAAGTGGCTTTAAGCAGTTCTGAATCTCTGCCTCTCAGAATGCTGAAAAGTGTCTCAATTATATCTTAATTTCAGAGCAGAGGAAAAGAGAAATAACAAACTGGTTGGAGACATGAAGAAATGTAAAATACTCAGAACTGTCTCTTTGTCTGTTTACCTGAAATTATTTTAGTGTGTAAAAAATCCCCTATAAACCTAAATTTTAAAGTTGCTGTGAGGTTTGAGGACAGCCACGATTGTAGTAATGGTGAAATAATTACACTGCAGTTTATACTGGGTAAAATACCAAGGTTTAAGGTTTTTAAGGAAAGGCAGTGTTGGTTGGCTGTTTTGTCAGTACAATTTTAGAAAAGGGTCCAAACCCATGTGTTTTAATACTAGCAAAAATAGGGCAAAGAAATAAGTATATGTGGAATACTTGGGCTTTATTATCGTATTTGTAGTATCTGTGACATTCAGTAGCATTTGAGAGAAGAAAAGGGAACTGTCTGATTGATTTGGAACATAAATTCTTACTGTCTGCAGAAGGTTGTTTCTTGCCATGAGCTCTGTGCAATTCATAAACTGAACACATATGCTATTACTGTACCTCTGAAAGCCTTTTTATAAAAAAAACCTAGCAAATGTCAAATTCTTATATCACAGAATTAGTATTTTCTTCTCAGTTTATTAGGGTGCTTGTTTTTCTGGGAACCCATACCAACAAAAAAAATTCTAGATAATTTACTATAAATAAAGATTTAATTTTTATTTTTAAATATACTACTTTTATTATTTTTTACTGTCACTGGCTAAAAAAATCTTTAAGGAAATTGGCTAAAGCATTAACTGTATTTTTTCTTCAGAGTGATTGGATCACTTACATTAAAATTGTAAGCAGTTGTCTGGTTTGGCAGTGGGAGTTTTACATGTCATTTTCTGAGCTATCAATGGTGCTCTTCAAGCAGTGTTGTAAGACCTGTTAAAATGTTGTTGACACCTTGTAAAGGCTGTGTGTGTGTATAGGTAAAACATGATATTAATGTGTTCAGAATTACTGTGCACTTCTATTTCTTTGAATAGCATTCTTGTGAAATAGGTTCTAAATAGCAGTCCTAGGGATGGGGTTGGAGATGTAAAAGGGGCTTTCGATTTGGAATGTGACTTTTTTTCCTTCCTTTCTTTTAAATGCCATCCAGTATGAATGCAAATCTGTTTCCACTTTATCTTTTGTCATTTGCTTCTTGACCATATGCAGCAGCATCATGGGGGCTTTCACTCAGTTCATGCAGAATAAGACTTTGTGTGTGCATATATGTTCATGTATGTGTGCATGTTTATGTAAATACACAGTCTGGAACAAGGGGTCAATGATGTTATTTATAAAATAAGATATTTATCGTGTTCAAATCTTCAAAGCCACAAACATCTTTCATTTCATTAAGTTAAATTATTACTAATCAGACTATTAAAAGACTGTTAAAGTAATTGGAGCCCTGAGTATATGTGAACATGAAGAAAGGGGAATAAAGCCTAATGCAGCCCATACATGAGTTCAGGTTCCAGAGCTATATGTTTCTGAAGATGTATTTGCCTCTGATAATCACAGCAACAACAAAATCTTTCTATTAAGTTTGGGAACAGATTCTTTTATTGGTTCCAGCTGTGGCTTTCTAAGTTTTATCCAGGTGTTAAAGTTTGTGTACAAAATAATTTCTCCTATTTTGTACTGTCTTCAAATTTGGTAGATACCTTTTTGTCTCAGGAATGGTTTTGGAGCTATTGCATACTTTTTTTCCCAGAGTTTAAATTCCTTCTGCTTAATGAATCAAAGTTTTTGAAGGATTAAGTAATTTTTCCTCTCATCTGTCATTGTGTCTTGTAATTGAGTCTTAAGCCACTGGCTAGAGCTGAAGAGGTGGAGTTTGCCAGGTATGGTTGGGTGGTGCTCTGGCAGAGCTCAGAGTTTTCCATGTTCCCTTCTCATAGTGGCTGTAGTGCCACACCATCCCTATTTTATTTACTTTATTCCACAACTGTCCCAGCTTTTGGCTCCATTGTATCAGGTTTAATTTTGCTTGAAGATCCCAGTTCATGTCTAAGGGTAGGTAATCCAGTATATGGTATTATTTGAGGAGATAATTTTGCTTGCTGGTGAGACCAGTACTGCCTTGAGGGTGTAGAGTTTAGTCAAGCTAGCACTGTTCCTGTGTGTGCTTCTGATCATAAAATGTGCTTGCCTTCCAGTAAGAGAAGTAACAGAATGAGCAGCCGAAGGTGTGAAAGAGTGAATGTCCTGCAGATTAAAAACCCAGTTGGATACAAAGTACAGAAATGGGTAATTGGAGCAGGATAAGGAGTGCCAGGAACATGAAATGGTACCTAGCTGGAAAAGATCACAAGCAACAAAGTTCAGTGCAACAAGAAAGTCTAGCAAAAAGAAAAAAAAAAGAGCAGGCAGAAGCTAGGACTGGGACTTCCTATGGACTATATCCAGAAGTGACAAGAGGAAAGATATTTGAGTAGGGGATTTACTGGAGTTTGGATAACATAATTTAAAAAAAAAAAAAAAAGTGTAACAGGCCCCACTGCTCAGTGGACAAAAAATTCTTTTGAGGAAATACGGACAGTACAGACCCAATGTAACCAGCATCAGGTATGTAATTTTGGAGGGGTAGAATGGGGTGTTAAACTTTTTTACTATGTTTAAACAGCAGTATATTTATTTTAAAACAGAAGAAAAATCTTACCAGAAGAAAATTTTATTTGATGAAAAGGCAGTTGAACATCACTAACACACACCTGCTTTTTTTTATTTTGTGAAGTGGCAAATATCAAGCCAGTTCTCAGCGGCGAGAAAGCTATTCACAAATCTTAATTTGAAAATTTAATTTTGCTAGATTCTTCTGTTCTCTGAGATAGCATGTCCCAAACATATTCTACACTTGCATCACAGACCTAGCAGTCTGAACAAAATTTGTGGAGCTGGAACATGACAATTACTCTGAGTAACTGGAGCGTGGAATACAGATCAGCCTGAGTCAGAAAACTCTTTGTGCTTCCCCCACTTTGGTGGATCCCTGAGCCTGCAAGTGTGCAGGCTGATGTCATACGCCGAGCAGCAGTCCCTGGGAGAGGAGCTGGACTGGGAAGTGTAGCCCTAGGAAACTAAAAGCTGCAGCAGAGGGGTTGCTGAGCTAAGCTGTGTCACGACGCTCTCAAAATGCGGTGCCTGTGTGCAGTCCTCAGACCCCTCAGCAGTGATAGCTCATGCTCCATCTATTACAAACAGAGCCCTCCTTCAGAAGTGTAAGTTGTGATTTTAAATGTTTGTATTTTTAGTTTCTGGATCTGCTTTCTTCAAGGTTCAATGGCCTTTTTAAATTTCTTCTGTTACTTGTAGGCGCATCTGAACTTTGTTTTCTTCCCTCTTCCAGTATGATCTGTGGCTTTTGAGGCAGCTGTTCTGAGAAGGATTTGAATATATTAGTAGGGCTTAAAGACAGTTTTCATGGTGACCTTCAAAATATCTCAAGCTGTGAACCAACTCCAGTCTGGAGTGGGAGAACTCTTCAGCTTGAGATTTCAGAATATTTGAAGCACAGAACTTTTGTATGCTTCTCTGTATTTTATTGTGTAAAGGGATGTGAGTAGTGAATTCAAGTCTCATCTGCCTCTTTCTGAAAACCTACTTGCTTAGGCAGTGTGACTGTGTTGATTTCACTGTTCAAAAGATTTTTCTGTTCAGATAAATGATAGCTTTTTATTAAAACATACTCTTAGCTGTGGGCTGAAGTTTCATTTAGCACATGCTGCCTAGGAGACTGTGGTACTTGCAGGCATCAATTGAAATTGTGACATGAAAGAGCCATTGTCTTTGGCAAAGCAGCTGACACAAACTTTTTTATGTTGCAATTAATTACAAAATGGTTGTGAGCTGTTGTCACATTCGAACAGTATTTTAATCCCTGCATATGTTTTTGAAAGTAAAAGTTAACCCTTCCATTATGTCCTGTATGCTATTTGTCTTTTGTGCCTAAATGAAAGGCTCTCACTTTAAGCTTTGAGCTAAAGTAGCATCTGCATTTTGATGGATATTTTATGTCCACAAAGCGGCAGAGATGCCAGGTTGGTATAGCATGAGTAGAGTGCTACAGTGGTCTGCATGATGGAACTGCTCAGACAAAATTTTGGGTACTATTGTATGAAAGGAGTGTGTGCCTGTGTTCAGACTGGAGCTTGAACAAGCAGGCATGTCAAAACTTGTCAGAGAGAAGCATAGAAGTGTATGAAAGGAAACATTGTCCTCCTGGGAATGTTGGGAGGAAAACTTCGTCATTCAGTTTTAATTACACCTGTTAACACTGCTCCCTGTTAAAGGCTTCCTGATGATGCCATTGCTAAGCCTGTTTTTCAGGACTGTGTGTGTGTTTCAAGTGAGCTGAGGTTTAAACACAGCTCCATAGATTTCTATATTGTGATTAAGTAAAAAAGGTGATGATCAACACCAAGTGTCACTTGAGCAGAGAATGGCATAACCATTGAATGTGTTTAGTTAAAGGAATTGCAGAGTAGACAGTGAAACAAGATAATACCAGCTTTTTATTTCAGGTGTCCAAGAAGTCAATTTTAATTCAAGCTACAGTAAATTTGCCCCTGTTTTTTTTCACATCTTTCATAATGCTGAAATAGAAGAAATGGAACAATGATAATGAAAACTAGAAATGTGAATGTAGGTGAAACAGTAACCAAAGTTTCTCCTACAGTAAAAGCATAAAAAAAAACCCCAAACCAAAACCAGGGAGTGGGAAGTGCAAACATTGTCTGAATTCATAGCTTAGTGAATACTAATTGTATAATGCATTTGTATGCACTCAACAGTATGGAGATGGCTGAAGTAACTAGGAATGGGGAGTTTGGCCCCTTAGCAGTCTAAGGGCAAAAATGAAGACTGTTCAGAACAGTGTTAAATTGAGTAGCCCATGGTATTTGAGATTGGCACATCCTGTACAAAATGCAGCTTTGTAGGGGTGAAAGAGAATCTGTAATACACTTATAGATTGTGCTGCCTGAAATGGGGAAGAGTAGTAGATACTGTAAAAGGGTGGAGTTGGTACAATGAGGCAGCAGGGGCTGTTTCTGACTGAAGCAAACAAAATGCAAAGAATGAGTGTAAACAGCTACTTCCTCTTGGTTCTTGTAGGAAATGTCTTTAACATTAAGAAGATGAAGTATCAAGTACTGCGTGTAACCTGACTTTATGATGCTGAAATGGGTGGGGATGATTACAGGTACAATGAATGCATATAACAGAAGAGCAATGACTTGCACATGATCAGTGTCGTACACACAGGGAAATTGAAATTTAAAACCAGTGAGTGCTGTCTGGCAGAAGGGCTTTCCTTGGTGAACTTTGGTAAAGCTTCCTGTGTAAACTGGGTATCATTCCTTTATTACTTACTGGAAGCAGTTTCTTTCCTTTTAACTGAGTCAGGAGGAGAGGTGACACCACACTGTAGCCACGCAGCCTGATGTTTCAGGGAATTACCCTGAATATTTGACCAGGAAGTAGCTGGTAACCTGGTAAACCCAAGACAGTTACAAGGCAAAATCTGTAGTTTTGTTAGGGTGCTACTGCAGTCAGCTGTCAAGTTCTGAAGTGGTGTGATTTTATGCTAAGCAAGGGCTGTGATTAAGGAAGTGTTAGGCAAGGTAGATCTTCAGCCTCTAGGTATCCAGAGCTGGCCAGCTTTACTTAAATTTAAGCTCAAAAGGTACTCGGGTTCATCTGTGTTGCATTATTATAACCCTTCATGCAAGGTATTATAGGAAGTTTTTTGAGGTGTTTTAATTTTGGCTAAAACCTATTTATGTCACAAGCTGATTTAGAAGGCTTGGAGTTGCTGATACATCCTGCTTAAGAGGGATGCAAGGTTTTTCCCAAGTGTGCCCAACTCTTCTCTCTGCATCTTTAAAGTGCACAGCAGATGTTGAGAAAACCCCTCACCGTCTTTCTGGACTCTGTAGTTAAAAGCAGCTGAAATAGCACAAATACATGCACTGAGGAGACCCTGGGCCTCCTTAGAATGGGGACAGAAAGCTCTTGAAAGAGGTGATGTAAAATGATGATGGACCTGACAATTCAGAAACAGTGCTGGCTATACATAAACAAAGTAGTGTAAGTAAATTCCAGTTAACTAATCTGAAGACAAGTAAAGTTGCAGTAAACTGTATGGAAAAGTGCCTTCTTTCCTGTGAACTGGGTGAAACTTTGGTGTCTAGGAGGTGAATGATCCAGGTGGGATGGTGGGTGGAGCACTTACATTGGGATGGGAAGCTCACAGAACTGTGGAATCATTTAGGTTGAAAAAGACTTTTAAGATAGAATCCAACTGTTGACCCAGCACTTCCAAGTCACCACAAAACCGTGCCCCTAAGCACCATGTTTGTGTTCTTGTTCTGTTGTCTTCATTTACTTGGACAAATGACATGAATAATCAGTGTCACTTGTTCTGCAGTGGGAAGGAGAGTGTGTGTGTGTCTTGAGTGCAGTAAGATGTTACATTTTTATTAAAAGACTTTCTGAAATTTTTACATAGATTTTTGCCTTTGGATTCTGTGTTCTTTTGCAACTTGTATTTTATTAAGCCTGGCAATCAGCCCAGATGCTGTCATATCTTCCATTCTGAATGGCGAGGGCTCATTTTGTTCTTGGTGATTTAAACCCTTGAAAAGCTAGTCCTCCTCCATCATAGTTCTCTAAAACTCTGCATTGTAAGCAGAAGATGTAGTTATTTTGTTTCCTTGATAGCAAAGGGAGCTGAAATTCTCAGATCTGGTGTTTTAACTGAGTTGTAAAAGTTGAGGGGCTGGGCCGGTTCTGATTTATTCAAACAACCAAAAATATCTGGAGAGAGGAAGTAGCAATTCATGATACATGGAGAGAATGGATTTCTTACAGTGTCTGTGCTGTGAAAAGAAGTGTGTTGTATAAGGCCAAACTTAATTAAACCCTAGCTCATTAGAGAATAGACTGCACGGTGATTATTTCTACCATTTGTATGAATGTTGGTAATTTTTTTGCATTAACACCTTGGATGTGAGATGAGGTCATTAAATGTAAGTGTGAGAGAAAAAAACCTTCTGAAATGTTCTGTTTTCTTATTAGTGCCTGACACCATGAAAATACCTATTTTTTAATTGTATATGAAGCATTTGACTCATTCTTGTGTATTTCTTGTGTAAACCACCTCTGTAGTCATATGTGGTTTTACTAGAATAAAGAGCTGAGTAATAAAATACAGCTTCATTCTGTAATTGTTTCTTGGATGGTGCAACATTTAGGAACTGTCTTTGAGCACTGATTGTCTAGAACAGTAAATTTGTTCCTATATATGTTTTTCCCTGGTTGGATCCCAGACTTGCACATGGCGGCTTTGTTCCTGTATTTTATTTAATAATTAAAATATAAATTTAATAATAAATAAAATAATAATTAAAAATAATTTTAACTGGTCACAGCACTTAAGTTACACTTCAATTATTTTTTTTTGGCGTTCTGTTTTATTGGCATTGTTCATTGCAGGTAAAAGATTGAACCATGAATCCAATGTAGTTTATTTGTTTTGATAATTTTAATCTTACTTTGCTTAAATATCTTGTGTACACAGTGAGGAACTAGGAGAATTCATGGAGATGAAAGGTGCAAACAGCCCTGGGATCCTTGTGCTGACCACGGGCCTCAGCAAACCTTTTATGCGTCTGGATAAATACCCCACGTTACTCAAAGAACTTGAAAGGCACATGGAGGTATATCTTATCAGCATTTATGTTCCAGCTTAATGATGATTTGACAACAATTATTTTAAAGGTACATGTCAAACATGATGGGACCCAAAATTGCATTTGCTTGCTCTTCAGCCTTCTAAACTACAGGCTGCAGTGGTTTATGTAAAAGTCAGTGCAGTAAAACTTCCTGTAAAAGATAAACATTTAAAGTAAAACTATCCAGAGAAGCTAATCATCATTCCTAGAACTTACCAGGGTCTTCAGTTGACTTGACATTGAATGTGTCCACTGCACACTACTTGAGGCCACTTTATCTTGCAGAGGGAGTGCTGCCTTTCACTTCAGTATGCTGAACACATTGGCAAAATAGTCCCTCTGACTTCTAGTGAGCACTGTCCAAAAGTGATCTTTACAGGACAAGAAGGTGTTTGAGGACCTAATCTTTTCACCTTTGGATTTTATAGGTTATATGTTTGGAGTGGGAAAAAAGAGAGAAAGTGTGGGGTTCTTGTCACATAGATTGGTTTTGCCAGCCAGTGACAGCAGAACGTGTTAGTCTGTAGGAAATCACCTTTGTGACAAAGCTAACCTGCTAAACAAAGCTCTCTTAATTCTTTCCTCTTGAGATTTCAAAATCTCTTATCCTCTAGGTCTTGTAAAACTTCTTTGGCTCAATTTTAAGTATAACTAGGACTGTGCTAAGTAACTGTAGTTCTACTACGAGCCAGACCCACCAGTGTTTAATATGAGAAGGCCATGAAGAGACTAGATCAGTCTAAACTTCAATTTTGCAGAATTGTTTATTTGGTTTTATTTAAGCCTCTTACAATTTTTAAAATTAATTTTGCTAGAACGGAACCTTTTATGTATGTTTTCTCTATTTTTTTTAGGATTATCATCCGGATCGTCCAGATATTCAAAAATCCATGACTGCCTTCAAAAATCTTTCTGTAAGAGTCATAAAAGGATGGATTATATATTTTAAGTAGAATGTTTTCTAATTACATCTTCCTGTATTGCTTAAAAAAGTGAAGCTTTTTCATAAATGTGTAATAAATTTTTAAAATCCTGGGAATCAATGCTGTGTGTAGGCAGAGCTAAGGATGGTAATTTGCTGGGGAGACGTAGTAAGTAGACTATTGGTGTAAGAATTGTGCAAAGTATTTTACACCTCTTTGTCTGCCCTATCATTATACTTCATCCCCCTTTCTACTAGTGCTTGCATGACTAGTGCCCTGAAGAAGGGCTTCTTTACAACAAATGAGTACATATTCTGGTTTTTTTTTCCTATGTGCATTCTTTCTCAGGGAATGGCATTGGATTTTAGAGGTTGAAGAGAAGAGTGTTAGTGAAGTTGAGAAGATGCAAAACTTCTAGTTACAATTGGAACAGGAAGCCTAATTTGAACAGATAAGCTGTCTGCTACTGTCTTTAGAAAAAAAAAGAAAAAAAAAGAAAAACTATGCCTCAACTGCAACAAGCAATGATTAGTGCAGTCTCAGTTATCAGAAACTTAATGTGTTGTGCTTCCTCTTAAGAATGTATGCTGATGATAACCTGACATTTTTTATTTTTTCAATCAGAAATTTAGTGTTATCAGTGTTCAGAAGAGGTTTGTGAGTTACATCCTCTTGAGTGCTATAACAACAAGAGGAAACAATTCTGTTGAGAAAAATTCAAATAAACAGAAGTAGAGCAGGTTGGAGTTACTTAATAAAAGTAGGAACACAAGGTTATAAACACTCAGGTTTGCACAAGTGGCATGTCTCTTCTTATTGAAAGATGCTTTGTTGTATAGATGTGTATTTCTGACAGAGTCACTGTGTTACTCTTTGCTGCTGAGCATGTCCATTTTTGGTTAGTCATACCAAAATTTGAAGTATAAAGGAAGGAGAAAATTGAGTAACAGAGCTATGACTGAATTTGGAATGGTAATTGAAGTCAATGTATTGAAAAGCCATAATATTTAATTCAGTAGAACTAGTTTATAAAAATATTGGTAGCAGTTCTCTAACCGAAAATGCTTCAAGTAAGATGCTGTCTGTGTGTATTACAAGCACAGCAGCAGTAAATACAACTGTAGTGGTATTTCTACCCTTAACCCATTCCAGATTGTTAGAGTTTGTAGAGATGATGTTTTCCCTGTGTTTGTTAGGCACAATGTCAAGAAGTACGGAAACGGAAAGAACTTGAACTGCAAATACTGACAGAAGCTATTCGCTGCTGGGAGGGAGAGGACATCAAAACACTTGGCAATGTCATTTACATGTCCCAAGTCATGATTCAGTGTGCTGGAAGTGAGGTAATGTCCTTCTCATCTTTACTGTTACTCTTCCAGTTTTGAATAAAATTCATTATAATCATTATACAACAGAAATAAAGAAAGTGCTTCAGAGATGGTAATCTAAGCTAAAGTCTTTCTGTGTTGATTTAAGGCATATTTTATAAAACCTGAAATAAAATTCCTTGAAGATGGATGGTCTCTTCTGTAAAATTTACTGAAAAGCGACTAAATAGAGTAGTTATAAATATTGTAGGATGATTTTTGCAGGGCTTTTTTCAGAGGGCATAATTGAACAAGATTTTCCATGTGTTGTTATGTTGCAGGATCATTGTGCATAGCAGTTATTACAGTGTGTTTTAAATAGCAAAAGGTTTAAAGTTTTATGTTGTAAGGTGTCTGAGACAAACTCTTTTTTGGCTGTTATGGGCATATTGCTCAAGTAATTAATTTTGAAATACAAGCTTGATACCAAATGCTTTTTGAGAAATAGAATAAGAAGATAAATTAGAAAGTTAACAGTGACAGAGTTGGGTGATTTTTTTCTAACCAAAGAAGCAAATAAAACATAAAGAAAAAATTGTCCTACCAGAACTAATGTTAAAATAATCAGAAAAGCAAGAACTAACAGAAATGCAATGTTATACAGGTTACTGACATGTTTTCATTGCTTGTTGTTCTCCTGAAAAATCCACGAGGCTTTGAATCTGATGAGGGCTTTTGAATTGCAACCTCATTCAGTCCATTTCCTCCCTTAGAACAAAGAGGTCCATAAAGTGTTTATGCAGCTGAATATTTAGAAGTTAGTCACTTGATGTTTTTCTCTCAGATATTTTGTTAGGTGTTAAATAAGATTCAGTAGAGCTAATAGTGCATCTTCTGCAGTCATGTCTCTTTTTGAAGCCAGCAAAACAAATCACCATTGCCCACTCTCATCATGAGATAAAATGTCAAATGTAATGGACTTCTAGAAGTTTCTGTTTAGCATAGCAGCTTTTTGGCAAGACACAGGACAGCTTCATTTGTGCAACAGCAAATGGGTTAGATTTTGTCTTTCTAAAAATTATATAGACATTTGCAAATGTTTACTTAAAAACATTAAAACCTAAGCTAAGGTTCTTGTAATTTTGCAAAGATGCTTGAAATTAGGATGGTAGCTTTGTCAGTTGATGTACTTAGGTTGTTATTAAAATATTTCACTTTAGTGCTTCTCCCTTTTATTGTTTATAGCAGTAGATTCAGAGTAAACTTATTCCTTATTCCATAAAAATACCCCAAAACAAAACCACAATGGAGGAAACCATACATGAAACCAGAAAATTAAAACCAGAACAAAGTAATGAGTGCTTTTGTTGTGACTGTACTGATTATTCCTTTGCTTCTCAGCATAACCCACTGTTTAAAAATCTGATCTCCAATTTGAGAGACCACAGTCTCCATATGACTGTAAAAGTATCCATCTAAATTATAGGAAGAAATAGATCCAGTATGTAATTTTGGTTTTACTGAAATTGGCCACACAGTTGTTATCATATTAAGCAAGGTCAGTATTTCACCCAGACTGTAAAAATCCTGTTTTAAAATACAAGGCTGTACTTTTCTGGAAAAAGTATAGGCATGTGTTAGTAGCACTTTTCAAATAGAAAATAAGTAGTTCTGTCTTCTTCTCTTCTTTTTTTTTTTAATACAATGGAGAAATAGTTTTGAAGTGAGCAAATATAATCATCCAGTTATAATGCTGAGAACTTTTAGTAATAGAAAAATGGATGATGGGACTTGTGAAGGTGTATTTACTTTTTCATTTTCTTCTTTTAACAAGGAGAAGAATGAAAGGTATCTTCTTCTCTTCCCTAACATTTTGCTGATGTTGTCTGCCAGCCCAAGAATGAGTGGCTTTATCTATCAGGTAAAGTACTACATTTATGTATGTGTAAAATGGGTTGGGGGATGTGTTCTTTCCAAATGATATTTCATAGGAAACTTTAAATATAAACTTTAAAGAAAAAAGGTAATGTCTGCAATAAGAAGTGGTCATCTGTCTTACAACATTCTGCCCTAGAACTCCAGGGTTTGATTTTCTTTGTATGTGTGACTATCACCAAGGAGACATTAGTTTTTTTACCTTGTTAGGAGTAGATGATGAGAGGAAGTATTGGGAACTTTTAAGATCTGTGTGGGGAACCAGTGTTGCTGCATAGGTTTGTTAGCGCTCTTTGCTGCTTGAGACTTAACAAAATTGCACAGTGCCCTTAAGCTTTTATTAGTGTGAATTAGGCTGTTACCATCAGTTTGTTTAAATGCATCCACGTGAGTGTTTTTTCTTGGAATTGGTGGCACACTTTCAAAATTCATCTTTTAGGTTTTTTCTGTTTAATGAGCACTGAGTCACAGAGTAGAAGTTGTTTTGGGGCTCACAGACTAGATTCCGTCTGCATGAAGCTGAAGTGGAAGGCATGCTCCAAATGTACACTTGATGCTCTAACTGTGGGAAATGATCAAGTACACAGACTGACATTCAGTTCCTGGCCCCAGCCTCAGGCTCTCCAGTGTAACACCACCCAAAATGCATACAAGGTGGCCCTAGGGACCTTGGCACCAGGTGTTTCACTTCACAAATCCTCTGCTCACAGCCACTAGACAGTCTTTGAGCTCTCTCCCAACTTTCCTAGCTGAGTACTTGTGGCTGTCCTGCAGGCCTGTTCCAGAGGTGGAACAGCTGCTATAGTGCAGGGGTGCCTTTCTCTTGGCTGCCCTGTAGCTCTAGGCTCTGTTTCACAAAAACACTTGCATCTTGGGTATATAGTTTCAAAGACTGCTGAGGGAGACAAATGTGCAATCCCTGACTTTCCAAGTCTTGTAAATGTTCAAGTAATGCCATTCAGGTTTGGGGCATCACAGTAAAATACCAAAAGACAGGGAAAAACTGCAACCAAGTTCTAAAAGAAGACAGATTTCACCTACTAGAAGTGCTTCTATAAAGCTGACACTTGAGCTGTTCATTCCTTTCTCCTGAGCAGTGATTTGCCTACTTCAAAGGAATGCTGAAGATTGGTCATTTGGTATTCCTATGTGATCAACCACAGTCAGTCACAAAAATGTGACACTTTTTTTTTAATTAGGAGCAATTAAATTCCAAAATTTGTGTTTGAATTCGTACCTTACCTGCCACAATTGTAGATGGATTTTTCTGAAATGCTGCTGCATTAGGTGGTTCAAGGGGACTGTTAAGTTTGTGGCACTTCTAATTATCCCAGTGTTGATGGAAAAAGGCAGTAGAAAAGGCATGTTAGTTCTGTGTTCCAAGTGGCATAGTCAGAATTTCTGGTGAGGATAGATTCTTCTGTACTGATTACAAAGCAGCTGACTGGAAATTTAGTATGTTAACTAGCAACATGAAATTAAACAGTCCGCCAAGCTTTATTTTTCCTCTCCTATCATTTGCATTTCTTCTACTTCTTCCCACCCACTTTATCCCCTAGATGTACAGGAATTTTCATTAAATAAATAAGCCATTTTCTGTGACTTGTCTTCAGCTTCTAGTTAGAATGGCCACAACCCTTTCTTAGTGTTCACTGTCCAAGCATCTCTTGAAAGCAAAACTCTTCATTTCCTCACAACCTCATGTGTGATAGTCCCAGCACTGAGAATGTCTCAGATTTTAATGACTACACAGCAAGGTGAAATTATTTCATCACTGTGTGTCTGAGACAGTTGATCAGAGCCCATGTCTAGAGTGCATAATGTGGGCCTTCTGGACATTTTTTTCTGTGGTTCACATTTCAGAACTGGGATGGATATGGGCAGAAGATGGAGTTCTCCCAGTCATTCTCAGAGAAATTATGTCAGGCATAATTATGTAGGATGATGGAGGCATCATCCTAATAACACCTTCCCTGCATTTCTGAATAGCCCACTTGTTGTCAGGCTTCAGATTTTCTGGTTGATAGTGCTGATAGCTACCATGTGAGCTAATGGGAAGAACTTTTAGCAGTGGTAAACTGAAGTCACAAGAAGTAAGGACCATACTCCTTAGGAAGGCTGCACAATTGTTTGTTAAAAGAAGGGAAATCCAAATGATTCACCAGTTCACTTCAGTCTTCTATTTTGCTGGGTTTGTACTTTTTCTTGCCATGTGGTTCAGGTGATCTGTCTCCAGGGTACCCCTATATTGCCTCCCCACCTGTGTCAGCAGTTCTTGCACATCTCTCTTGTGGTTTTATGCTGTGTTATTCGTGAACCATCAGACAGGAAAAAAGGCAAAAGAGCAAATTTTAGCTGCATTTTATAGTGCACATGGCCACCATGTTTCCTTCCCTGGGGAAGCTGCCACAAAAGAACTCCTCCTTTCTCTTTGGTATTTTGGGCCTGAGCATGCTCTGTGCCTACAGAATACCAAGTGATTTTTCATTTTCTAGCTTCTAAGAAACCTTTGTCCATTCTGCTGTCTTTAGGAAAGAGGAAAACATGAAGTTGGTTTTTATTCTTTCTGCTGTGTTGGAGCCAAAATTCCACAGTACATAGTATTTGTGCTTTTGCCAGTATTTGCTGAATAGTGTTTCTGTGCAGGAGAATACAGAATGTCTTAAAGAACTTTTCTTGAAGTTTTGTTTTCAGTGAAGCTTTTCATCACAAAAATACTAAATTTTATTTATTCATCTGTTTCTAAAGGGTCAAAAAGTTATCCTAAACTGACTTCTTTTTTTTCCCTGCTTGACTGGAAATGGGATCTCCTGAAAAATTAGTAAGTTCTTCAGAAGTTTTTTCCCTGCTTGACTGGGTTTAAAATGGGATCTCCTGAAAAATTAGTATGTTCTTCTGAAGAAAACTTAGAAATTTGAAGGTGTTCACTGCTTTTTTTCCCCCTCAAAGTATTTCCATGAGGGAATTTAGTTGTGGCTTTGTTAGAGAAATAAATCTTCAGTAAATAATTGATGCATTTATTTAGTGAAATACTCCTTTATAAATTTACTTGTCCTACAGACTTTGTTCTGGGAGCTAATAAGACAGTTTGCAAACAAATGAGCTTGAAGAAGAGTCACTGTTGCCTCCAGTCATGTAATGTGATCCTGAAGGTCTCAGTTTCAGGAACCTGAGACTGAGGAATGATCACTGTTGTGTTTGTATGGATTTTGTAGCCTGAATAGGTATCAGCCAGACTTACTGACATCACAGATATCATTTGCAGAAGTTGGACACATGAAAAACTCCCATTATGAGATGTTTGTATGGATTTTTGAATGTTTTTAAACCTGTTGGGGTGTATGTGTCAATTTACTGTGAATGTCGTTTTTTCAGAGCTTTTCTTTCATTAGTAATGTTTTAATGTGTTTTGTATTTAATGTCAACATCTTTTTTCTTTTTAAGGGAAAACTGCCTATGACAGGAATGACTATTACAAAGCTAGAAGACAGTGAAAACCATAAAAATGCATTTGAAATATCAGGTATTGCCCATTAGTATTTTTATTTACTAGTTATTCAAGCATATACTGTTTCAAACATCATGTTCACTCTGAACAGAAGAAAAAAACTTGTATATTGTGAGGGTGACCAAGCACTGGCACAGGGTGCCTGGGCTGTCCTTGGAGGTACTGGAAAGCTCCCTGGCCATGATCCCAGGAACAGCTCCAAGTGTCTGTGCTTGAGCAGTGGGGACCTACAGAGGTCCCTTACAGCCTCAGTCATCCTGTGGTTATTCAGACTTTGTAACACAGCTAGCCAGAGCCTCACTTGAAGGTTGGTTTTTACTGCTTCTCTTATGCAGTTAAGGTGCTCTTTGCATGGGATTCATCCTGGAATTTCTGTGTCTTAATGAATGGAGGCAGTAGCCTGGGAGAAGATCTTTTGTGATGAAGCAGTTCCAAGTATACTATTTACTGAAAGAACAGGAATTCAAGAGGCTCTGGAAGAGCTTTGAACAAGAGTTTTCTTGTAGAAATTTTCCACCTCTTTCTGAGAAAATGAGATGCTTATTTAGCATCTCTGATGTTAATGATGGTTGCCATTGTGCTTCTAGGTAATTTCTATCTGTTTAGTCATTCATTTCATCATGTATATCCTGAGACAATTTAAAGGGCAGTGCAGGGTCCCCATGGTGGAGTTTTGTATCTTCATTAATTTCCTGGATCAGTTCTACATCCAAGCAGGTTGCATTTGAAGAAACTAATTTTGACTGTCTCAAGTATGATATCAATGCTATGAGTCACAGGGGAAAGAATTGTTTGTATTGAGAAAAAAAAGTGTTTTTTTTGCAATAATAGCTATCAGGCTGATCTCAAGGGGAATGCAATGGGTTAAATGGTGTTAACTTTCACTTCTGCATCATATAATCATTTATCTTTGGTTGAGGTAACAAATGAATTCTGCCTTACCTTTGATTTTATTCCTTCTTCTGAGATAAAATTGGTGAACTCTTACTATATAACTTTTCCTGTACAGACTCAACAATGACATTTTAGGCTGTGTTCTGGCTTTGCTGGGGAAGATGGAGAAGCATAAGGCTGGTAGATGAGCCTGTCTCCTACTCTTGTCATTTAAGGTTGTGCTTAATTACTAAAGTTAAAGGAAAAAAGTAGAACTGTACTAGGCTAAGAATAAATACATGGAGGTGATGTGTGTTACAACCTGGAAAAATGGGATGCCGTTGTACTGAATATATTATTTAAATTTTTGCTTATTATTGAGAATACATAAGGTTTTAAAAAATGAAATCATGTCAGACTGACTAAACTGTTCTTTTTCGTTTCCTATGTCTTTCTGATGTCTGTCACTTAGGAAATATGATTGAAAGGATATTAGTATCTTGTAACAACCAACAAGATTTGCATGAATGGGTGGATCACCTGCAGAAGCAAACCAAAGTCACAAGTGTTGGGAATCCCACCATTAAACCTCACTCTGTGCCATCTCACACGGTAAGCAGTGAATGAGCAGAATTAGGTTATAATTAGGTTGTCTGGCAAATATAACACCATGGAAAGCCTTTTTTTTAGCCATTAGTAACAAGAACTGAATTTTGTCACTGTAGTTTAATAGGTAAAATGATAATGCTATTTTTAATTGTCTGAACAAAGAATAAAATGCTTAAAACTCAGTGTAACAGTTAACTGGGGTGAAAGAAAGTTCATTATCATTGCTTTTTCTGTTTTGACCAAGTGCATACATCACCATCTTTTAAATACTTAGAACTGTAGGTTGTAATTGGTGATGTACTTGACAGGCTGTGGAGAAACAGTAATTTCTTTTGGGTTCTGCATTTGAATTGTTGGATATGAATGGTGCTAAATTTAGCTCCACCCTTAGTGTTGAGAGAAGTGGGAGCAGGGCTGCTTGTAGCTGTTCTATCTTTAGTTTTTGCTCTGTCTGTGGTAGACAATAAAAAAATTTAAGCTCTTTTTTCCCAAAAAATACTTTAGTGTAAAATTTTTTGAAGGCCAGCTGTAATAAACAGAAATTCTCTAGCAAGTGGGATTATTTCCTTGATGACACTGTCTCCATTATGATAATATGCCTTCTTTCCTTTCCCATCATGTTTGACAGCTTCCTTCCCACCCAGTGACTCCCTCCAGCAAGCATTCAGACAGCAAGCCAATACCACTGACACCTGCCTACCACACTCTCCCTCATCCCTCACATCATGGGACTCCACACACCACAATAAACTGGGGACCGCTGGAGCCTCCCAAGACGCCCAAGCCTTGGAGCCTGAGCTGCCTGCGGCCCGCGCCTCCCCTGCGGCCCTCAGCAGCTCTGTGCTATAAAGAGGTGAGGGGCAGCAGCCCAGAAACAAGACACTGTGGCAGACCTTCAGCAGGAAGTTGTAAATTCTTTTTTGGTGGCTGTGTGTATGTGACTTTGCTTTAATTTTGTAAATCTCATAAACGGGGAAAGAGCGAGAGTTGATCTGCAGTGCAAGGTTTGTATTGAAACTTAGCTGCTGTAAGAGATTCTTCTGTTTGGCTGTACTATATGCTTATTTTGTAATTTAAATTGAAATCCTTTTATGCTTTCATGTGTAGGCCACTAAATTCTCCAATGTATTAAAATTTCAATAATCTTTATATTGTTTAGCCTACAATAATGTCCAAAACCTATCTTGATAATCTTCGGTAGGTCCTGGTCAGTCACCTTTTTACTTTCTCGTTCTGTGTTTTCACAGAAGATGTATTATATCTTTAAGGTAAAGGGTAGACCAGCATCTTCCTTTTGGCCCTGAAACTTAGTGTTGTTCCTGTAAATTACTGTGACCACATTTTGAGCAGAAATGCTGCTGGGTTTGTTTATTTGTTTATGGCTTTTGTTTGTTTGTTATGTTGGTTTTTGGTGTTTGTTGGTTGGTTTTTTTTTGTTTGTTTTTTTCTGTAGACCTCTGTAAAAACAGACATAGACTTTTATAAATTTTGGCTTTGAAGGGTATAGTAGCTGCCAAGCTTCCTTGTTAGGTCCTCTTTTACTTGCTTCCCACTAGACAAGTGAAATGTGTTGTCTCTTCAACTGTTCAGGAAAAAGATCTGTTAAGGTATTCCTGCCTCTTCTCTTCAGTCTAGCTCCCAAACAGGCTGAATGCCTTTGCAGCAGGTTTTATGTATATTTCTGTTAATAGAACAGATAAAATACTTGGTTGTGTGTATAGTTGGAGGAAGGGTAGAGAGGAAATCAGCCAATTCAAGCAAACTGAGCATGGCAAAAAACATTAGTAAACGGTTTTATGTATATTTCTGTTAATAGAACAGATAAAATACTTGGTTGTGTGTATAGTTAGGATAGGAGGAAGGGTAGAGAGGAAATCAGCTAATTCAAGCAAACTGAGCATGGCAAAAAATATTAGTAAATTGAATTTTGGTGCTGTTAAAAGGCTTTTAGTTAGTAATTCCTGTATGCATCTTAGAAGTTAAATTCTTGAAATGCTGTCTAGAAGCTCTACTTTTTATTTTTTCTGTACAGGATCTCAGTAAAAGCCCTAAAACCATGAAAAAGCTGCTTCCCAAACGCAAGCCAGAGCGGAAGCCATCGGATGAAGAGTTTGCACTGAGAAAAAGTAAGAGAGATTTGAACAAACATCTGCATAATACAAAGGGTGGAATTAATATCAGTTTAATTTCTGTAAGAGTTAGGTGTACAGTGTAAGCAGGTCACCTGGTTTCCTCTCTCATGTCAGGGGAGAGGGGAAGGTATCTCCAGAGGATGATTTGTTATAGTCATCTTATGCTGTGATGACATTTGTAGAGCTTTACTAATTTCTACACTGGATGTCTGCTTGTGAAGTGCCTATTTCTGTTTGTTACAGAAGCAAGGAGGTTCACTAGATAGCAAGGTGAAGTTCAGTGAGGTAAACCTGTCTTTTAGTACTGTAAACAACAAGGTGAAGATACTGAACTACTCTTGCACAGCTACTCTTCATAGCTGGGTTCTTTAGTTGGTCTTTGTAGGAGATTCTGTTGTCCTGGGTGTTGGAAAGCTGGTTATTGCTACTGATTTGAGGACAAGTTTCTTCCACAATCACTTCTTCTAGGATCCAACAGTCTTCTCTTATTTCCTGTAAATAAGACATTTGCTCATGTCTGTATCTAAATAAATTGTAGATGGTTAGGTTGCTTGAAGTCTGAAGAAAAATGCTGCTCTGAGTGAGACTTAGTAATGTACAGAAAGAGGTCAAAATCTGGATGTTAGGATAATTTGAAGTGGAGGGAGCATTAATGTTATCAAGCAAACACAGTATTCACTTACTTGTCAGTGTTGCTGTAATTCTTCCTTAGAAATGTGAGTGAATGAATAATCTGATTACTGGTATCAATAAAAGACAGGGTGTTTTATTGGACAGATTTTTGCTGTTGCTTTTGTTTCTGTGTCTGTCTTTTGCTCATGGGCTTTTTAAGAGTGTGCCATGAGTGCTCAGTGCATGAAGTGTGTTATTGTGGCAGTTGTCTCTCACAGGCCTATACAGAGTTGGAGAGAAAAAGCTTTTCCTCAGGGTGCTCTTGGTTCGTCTGAGGTGTTAGTCCTTCTGATGTTCTGTGAATTTCATAGTGCAGAGGTTAAGGTAATGAGTAGAACGATTCTCTGTCCATAGATGTGCAGGTGGATGTTGTAGTTCAGCATGGTTTATCCTTACAGCAAGGCACCTGTTTAGGAAAAATGAAAATACTGTAATGCAGTATCATCTCAGATGCTGGAGAATGGAGATTCAGTAATTGTAATGATAATGATGAAGCTGTCAAATGGCAGGTTTAGCAATTGTTAAAGAACACAATGGGAAGAGTTAAGGGTTTTTACTTGGGGGAAAGCAGGAGTCTGTAGTTTGCAAATACATTGTTCTACTCCTGATTCAATAACTTTTATTGAAAGGTATTCCTTGGTGTGTTTCTTACAGATTCTTGGTATTCATCTTCCCTAATCAGTAATTAGAAGCTTCTGTTAGTGTTTCTTCAACTGTCTCAATTTTTTTTTAAAAGATATAAAAGTTTCCCACTTGTACAGAATTTAAAGCATATTGGTAGAGAGGTCTGGATTTTGTTACTGCCCTTCTCAGGAATCCAGAGGATTTATGGGCTGTGTTTTGAGAACTGCTGTGTCAAATTAGCATTTCAACAGAAAACAACTGAGATGTTTCAACTGACTGCCCTCAAAATGCTATTTCAGAAGTGTAGTGTTTGTTCTGCTACTGTAATTATATGGTGCTGCATTCTAACTACAAAATCCAATTATTTTTCCTGCCTTGAGAGAGGGATAACCCATACTTTAGGGTTCCTGCATCTCTTAAGCTGTAGGAAAATTGTATTGGGTCAAGATAATTTCTGCAGTAGCTAGCTTGTCCCAGCAAATGTTTGGAAAGTTGGCTTTGTTGTGGTAATTATAAATCACAAAACCCAGCAGGATGTATTGGCTGGCAGAGAATACAACTGCATTTTGATATTGAAGGCTTCTCAGATTCATGTAGTAGGAAATCTTCAAACCTGGTTATTTCACAGGGGAAAAGAGGAAAAATGCTTTTAAAACAACAAATTGTCTTTCTTTGCACATAGACTTCTGCTCTAATCTAAACTAATAATGGTAGAGGTAGAGGTTCACTCTATTGTGAGTGAACAATTTGACACTATTTTTACTGAGTCACCCAGTGGCATTTGCTGTGGAGCTTTACCTTTTGGAAACAAGCTTGAATAGTTAAATTTGTTCAGTAGTGCGATTTCTGTGCTGAAGTCTGAGTAGTTTAGAGTAGTCACTTTTCAGATATATGTACATGATCCCTTCTGCATGCTGGACTGAAGTTATGTTGTTAATTCTGAGTTCTGTTTTCAACTGTGTGCTGTTAAAAGGGGTGAATTTGATTTATATATATACATAGAAATGCAAATTTTTCAAGATGTTATCTGTGAATTAGTATTCTATTTTTTGATTTCTTTGATTAAATAATGGAATAGTGTGGATATTGAGTTGTGTATTCGTATAATAACCTGAGTATATTGGGGTTTTTCAGTAAAATGACTGGTTTAGAATGAGAGTCCTCACATTTCAAAACACATTGTACAATATCAGATGCTCATAAAATTTCTTGAATGCATGGGTGGTTACTCTGAATTGAATTATTTCTAAGCATTTCAAAATAGTCTTTGTCCTTTTAAACTGTTACATTTGGTCATTGAAGTTTGAATTTTACAATTGTATTATTAAAATAATTTTAAAGGGTTGATTAGGCTGACCTTTGGACTCAACCAAACTGTACTGATTTACAAAGGCTTTTTCTATATTAAGAAAATAATGTTTAAAATTCTATTTTTCCCATTGATTCTAGGTACAGCTGCTTTAGAAGAAGATGCTCAAATTCTTAAAGTCATTGAAGCATATTGCACAAGTGCCAAAACACGTCAGACATTAAATTCAAGTAAGTTATCCATTTCTACCCATTTCAGTACTTTCTAGCTAAAACATCAATAAGATAGTTTGCAAAATAGAGTGCTGTATATTCTCAGGCCTTTGCAAATAGCAAGTTGGACCTGCAAATAATAATAACCTGTTTCTGGTTTAACATTAATGCCAGGTGTTTATGTATTGGATTCCGAGGACCATGGTTAGAGACTATAATTTTTTCAGTATTTTGAAACAATCCAAAACATCAAAAACCCAAATGTAACTACTTGTCATGGTTTAAAATTTTATTAAAGCTTTACCAATGAATAAGATGTGTCTGAACTGAATATAACAGCTAATCACTATGCTTTTGGATAAATTTCAAGAAGCTGGTAAGTAGGAGGAATGTACAAGTCATTGTAATTTTGGAGGACTGTATTTTTGTTGTGTTCTGTTCAACAAAGACTTTGTCTATGGAAAAATAACCTAGACCTATTAAATTTTTTTTAAATTTTATTGCCACTAGTTGTTTTTAGTATTAATTACAAATTTTAATCCCGTCTCATAATTTCAGGAGAAATTGTTCTCAGATGTGTGTTGCTTAAAGCCATTTTTAGTTTCTCAGATCAATACCTAGCATATTGAAAACCTGTAACGTGCCTCTGGGGTCCTACTTCATTTAATCCAAATCAAGGTTGCCATGTGGAGTTCCTCTGTATTGTAAGTAAAACATTGCTCAAAGCAGGGGAGTCCACCAGCATGTGTTCCATTTACACAAGGAAGGAGAAAATGCTGTTGCGTTTGTTCCTTTTTGCACTGTTGAATACAAATTTAATTTGGAGATCCTTGGAACACAGTATGATGAATTTGAGGTACTTGGCTGGTTTTGCTGGAACTAGAAGACTGGACATCATAACTTCTTGTCCATTAAAGATATTTAAATTTTGCAATATTCATAATTTTTACTGCTGCCTACAGTGCTCTAGGCCTGTTTTGCTTCCAAGCAAAAGCACTTCGTGCTGACAGTTGAAGTATTAAAACACAATTGCAGACTTAGTTCTTGAATTTTCCTAATACACATTTATTTGCTATTGCCACCTTGAAAAAAAAAAACACAGCTACTTTGTATTCCTATGTAACTTGCAATGGGAATATGGCAGTTCTATTAGATTGTAAAAACCTCTCAAGTAACAAGAGCCTTAATTTTAATTTTTCTGTCTTAATGAACTGTATATCTCCAAGATCATGAAATCAGCTACCACTACTATTTTTTAATACTAATCTTTTTAAAGTCCTACAGTCATTACAGTAGTGTGTTTAATTGGATAAAAGGAATGAATGAGTTCAAAGTTCTGAAGATATACTGTTGTTCCAAACAAAATCAAATGAGATGATTGCCGTTTCAACACCTCAACTGTGTTCTGTTATTTCCAAGGATAACGTGACAAGAAATGGTTGGGAAAACATTTGCACTTGCACAGTAGTGTGTGTGTGCAGATATGAAGTGGATACGATTTTTTTTTGCTTGCCTATTTTTCCTGTCTATGTATATTTAAGAAATATACATAGTGCTGTGGGTATCATTGCATACATCAGAAGTCAGCTCTTTTATTTGCCCTTAATTGCAGCAAGAAACAATTTTTTATTGATTAGGCACACAGCTGCTTTGTTTGGAAAGCAGTGTTGTCACCTAAGACTAGGTTTCAGAAGGTCCATTTGTAAACTGGAATTGGAAATAGGGGAAGAACCAATAAAGCTGAAATTGCTTCTGTTGGAGCAGTAGTCAGTGTAGAATAATAGAATGAGAGAGTTGCCTGTCATCTGTGAATTACGCTGGTTTTTTACATACTCCATTCTTACCTCCCAGTTAATATTCTGCCTGTCCCTGACAGCACTCACTGGGAAATTCCCCTACTGCACCTTAATCTGCTGCTTTTGGCAGTGTCAGTACAGCAGAGCTATGGCACCAGTGCATACTGGTAAGGTGTAGTATTAGAGGTAGCAGAGCAGCTCTTTATCAGTTGTTTGGGTGGGAAAAAGTGGGATTTAATTTGGGTAGGCAGATGGAAATGAAAGAGCAGAGTCTGACTTTCTCGTGCTTTTCGTACACTGACCTTATTTTGCATTTCTGCTTCAAATGAGGACTTAAAATCCTCTGCAATATCATGTGTATGGTGGCTCGTAACATGGCCACTTACATGGCTTCAATGCTTGGATATTGACAGGCCTTGAAAAGTTACAAAAAACAGTCCTTACTATGTTTGACTAATGATTCTAGAGATGTAAAAATATTGAACTGGGGAGATGGACTCAGGCATGTAGGAGGAGGTGTGTGAGGGGTCAGAATGGGATAGGCTGTGTCACTGTTAGGCTGTTGGCCATGTTTTTCTGCGAGTTAATTTGCCACAAATAACAAGGGGTATGGGCACAGAAAAAAATATACTTTGACAATCTCCTTCAATAGGTGCAAGATGTTGCTGCTGATTTAGTAATCAGCAGCCCTGCTCTGCATGAGAACCTTTGCTTTTCTTTTTCCCCCTTCATTTTCCTCTTCACAGTGGTGACACAAGCACTTCTGTTGGCTGTGTTGTGAGCTGGTGGGAAAATTACCTGCTTGAAAAAACTAACCCTACAAAAGATTTTTTTCATCTGAAGCTGTTTCCTGACCTGGCTCATGAAGCAGCTGTACAAAAGACTGTGTCATTGCAAGGGAGGGAAAGGATGAGGTACAGATATGTGATGGGGAAGGGGCTATTGCTTTTCACATTGGTGCTGGATCATGCTGGCTTACTGTGTTTGTTTACTGCTCTGTGCCCAGTCAAATCCTCCCCAGACCAGAACTGACTCTGTATTTCAAAAGAACCTGACTTCCTCTTGAAAAAATTCTGCTTTCAAGCAATATTTTGTTACTCAAAATTCTCAACTGAGACTGCCTAGAAACTTAAAAACCACTTCAAAATTGTATTGTAACCATTCAAACATTATGTGCTGAGTGTAATTTATACCTAAACCCCAAACAAATTTGAAAAAAAAAAAAAAGAAAAAACCCAACTTTGGTGCCTTTTTAACAATATTTTCTCTTTTCCTTCTCTTCCCATCACCTTTTTGCTTTTATTTCATGTGTTTGGTTGTGGCTATTCCTTACGTTCTCCTCCTCATCCCACCTCTGCCTATCCACATCCACCATTTCATTTCACCTATACATCCTTAGCATGGCAAGGCACTGACCTGATGCATAATCACGTCTTGGCTGATGATGACCAATCAAGTCTAGACTCCTTGGGTCGTCGCAGTAGCCTTTCTCGTTTGGAGCCTTCAGACCTCTCAGAAGACTCTGACTATGACAGTATATGGACAGCCCATAGTTACAGAATGGGGTCTACATCTCGTAAGAGCTGTTGCTCATATATCTCTCACCAGAACTAATGCACTTCTGAGCTTTTCTTAACAAATGCTTGTTGTATCACAGCCTGCTTTTCTTAGATGTTTTCTTGCTGTTCCTTGTCTCTTTAATGTGATATTTTAACAACTTCTGAGGGAGCTCCTGAAACTTCAGTTATACCTGGTGGAAGGCTCTATTGTCAATTCAGTACACATACAAATAAGTCATTCTAAAAAGTGTATATCCTGTTAAGGATGATACTTCTCGAGGGTTTTTTTAACTGACAGATGTTAATTTGTAGCTCTGAATGGTCTTTTTATTCTTTTGACTTGGTCAGTGTAGTAACAGGTCCTTTACTTTCTTTTTTTTTATTGTTTTGGATAAGCACATTTTTATATTTTGTACTGAAGCCATACTGGTTTGAGAGCTGAGTGCCAGCTATATGGAAATACCTTAGTGGTAGTTGTTGAATTTTCTACATATTATTAACAAAATATATAGCTGGTAGAGAAAAGTGAAATGCAGCTTAAAAATAAGCAGTACAAGAGCTGTAAAATCATTCAGATATAAACATATCTGGCCTATTTGTTTGGAAGAGCATTTGCTAATCCATAAAAATTTCTGGTTTTATACTGCTGTCTTTTGCTCATTGCTTAAAACGTTTATATGAAGGACCTTGCTGCTCTTTCCCCACCCCAGTCTGGCAATTGTCATGAAAACCTGGCAGTCCATGCTCATTACATGCAGTGTTTTGGTACTCTCATGTTACCTGTGGTCATACTGTCACTTTACTGTGTGCAGTAGTGTGGCAGAAAGCAGGGTTTAGATGTTTACTTGCCTGTTAAAATACACAACTGTCAACTCTCAATTGACCATTCTTCTTGAAAAGACGAGAGGAAAATGATTCCCCTGATGGAGGCTCCAGTGTTCACCATCTGAAACTCTAGGTACAACTGTGATCAAATTGGCTTGTTTGAAGTTCTGAATAATAGAATGCTTGGCTTTCGGGTTGTACTGTTTGGAGCATGTCTGTGACAGATTTTATTGTGTCTTGTAACTTCTCTCATAAGCAGGTTTGTTTTCAGCAGCAGCTCTTCACTTACAGTCATGTTGGCTTTTTCAGAGAACTGTGACATGCTGTGCACAGCTGAAGGTCTCAAACCTGCACCTGGGGCACTGCTGGGGTGAACTCTGTGTGTGTGTTCTGTCTTGTTGCTAAAGTAATTGGCATCAAAACAAAAATGGCATGTTTTCCAAATCTTTGTAAGCATTAGGGAAAAGTGTGCTGAAAGTGATGAAAGGACAGAAACAGTTCTCAGTTTCACCAGGGCTCCCAAGTGCAACACCCTTATCACTTTTCACATAAGCATGTTATCTGGTGTTCAGATACTATTCTATGAACAAGTTCAGAGTAATGGTGATGAAATTTAACTGCAGCCTGGGAACTTGATCACACTGTTTAAAAGGGAATCAATACCTTTCTGTGGGTTACATGATCAGAAAGTTGCAATTGCTAGGAGTGCATGATTCCAGAAGGTGGTCAGTGTGCAGAAGATGTTTCAAGACAGTTCATGTCTTCAATTTATGTTCAGTCTTGTTTGATCCCCTGCTTTATCCTCTCTCTGTTGTTGGCATTCTATAATGGGACTAACAAAAGCAGTAGTGCTTACCAAGGAGGGTTTTCCTGGGTGCATTTTACTGCTGGTCATATATTAATGTAATGACCAGGAACTTGTGTATGTTGAACCTTTTGCAAATGGAGGAGTCTTGCTTAGAGAAATGAGATAAGTATATGTGCTCCATATCATTTCACAGCACATTTGTAACCCACTTCACTCCCTTCTTCTTTTCAGTCAGTTTTTCTGTTTTGTTTTTTTAATATATATGGAAAGTATGGCTTGTTTTTTCCCTGTTTCTTATGATATGGTGTTCTAGTTGAATAATGTTTTCTGCACTGGATAAATGATAATTCTTTTATGTCTGTTTCATGTTATATAGTGTAAATATGAGTTTGTAATACAGTTGTTGCACTTGAACTTTCCTTACCACACAGAAAGTTTTGTTATCCAGATCCGAAGATTTTGACTTTTTATGCACCAAAGCTTTGACAGTTTACCACCATTAATTATTGTAGCATTTATGTCACTAGGTACTATCATAATTAGGATCTTTCATATTGTGTATTCTCATATTAACATCACAGCACATTTAAAACCATTCTACATCTTCAATGTTACAGGCTGTAAACTATTGTGAACTGATCAGGAGTATTAATGCAAAATGCTTGAAACAAAAGGACAAATGTGGAAATGATGGTATTCAGTCCAAAGGTTCAGTGTTTCTATTTTTGTGGAACTTTAGTCATGGTAATAACAGTACCTTATGTTTATGCAATTCTGTAAATTGTATGTGTACAGTTACAAATACACTGGAAGGATGGAGAACCTGAATTGGAAGGTAGGTTCAAGCCATTGTCAGGCCCTCTTCTCATGGCTTATGCAGTGTTTCCATATAAATTAGTACTTACCATAAGCTGAAGCCAACCAATATTGATTGGGTGTTTTGAGTAATCTTGCCAAAACACAGTAATGTGTATATAGTGACGTAAAACATAGAGTAATATATATTGTGCACTTCATTTGTGAATGGGAGAAGCCATCTTTAGTAGGTGACTGCCTTTGGAAAATGCAAAATGGATGTATATCTGAATGTTTCATTGTACTGTACAGTATGCATATTGTTTGTGGTTGCATATATCAATTAAGTGTTTTGTTTTATATGAAAAGGACATCTGTTATGTACAGTTGAAATAAATTTTGCATTTGCTAGACTGTGACTTTAATATTTAATTATTACACAGGGGGAAAGGACAGCAGAACTTGTAACTTAACACATCCTCTTCTCCCTATGCCTCCTTTCTCTTCCTCCCTTCTTCCCAGAGGAATCAAATGCTGACATGAAAGACCTTTTTTGACATAAGTTTGTAATCTTTGTTTAATGTAGTTGACATCTACAGGAAATTCAATGTAATGGGAAGTATGTATTCTTCTATATCCTCTTTTTTGTAAAAATAATGTCAGAGACATTGCCATCTACAGATGGTTTTTCTGTTAATTGATTTCCTGTTAATTGATTTTATTTTCTTCCTTTTAGTTTTTTGGTTGTTTTTTGTTGTTGTTGTTTTGGTTTTTGGGTTTGGTTTTTTTTGTGTGTGGGGTTTTTGGTGTTTTTGTTTTGTTGTGGTTTTTTTTTTTTGGGGGGGGTTTTTTTTGTTGGTATATTCTCAGTAGAAGCATGGGCTGAATTATTGGAACAATCTAAAACCTACTTCTGCAGGTTTATTGCCAGAAAGAAATTTTATGAATATACTAAGAGTGTATATAACCTTATGTGTTTTCATGATTTAATATTACAACATTTTTCTTTTAAAAGCAAGAGTTATCTGTAGTGTTTCTGCTTAAAAGATGCTTACATATGAGTAAATTTAAACCAATCAGTTAGCTAATATATGTGCTAAAGTGTTTACATCAGAATAAATTTAATAATCACCCCTCTCTATTAAAAGGTCATAACTTTTTTTTCTCTGATTTTAGCAGCTCTAGTCCTGCAGCCATGTGCTTGAAAATTTTTGTATTGGTTACCAAAATACAGGCAGTTCAGTGGATTGGCTCTTTCCAAATGTTGTCTTAGGAATCTCCCATGTCTTCAGATGGTGTCTATCTTCTCAAACTATTCATTCTGGTCTTACATGACCAACACTTACATATGAAGTTATATTTTGGTCCACTTTATTGTTTCTGTTTTACTTACCTAAGCATTTAGGCAGTAAACTGCCTAAATCAGTCATCTGAGTCATGTGGGCTTTTATTCCTCTTTGTGATTCTCTGTTAGTTAAAAACCACAAAACAACTTCATGCCCACGCCTTTTTGTATTATTCCCAAGAATTTGCAAGCAATGGTCTATCTTATGCAGTGAACTAAAGTTTAGATGGTATTTGGCTTCTGATTTGTGTTTTCTTTACAAAGATAGTAAAGGATACTCTTTTGATTTTGGCAGATCTGTAGCACAGATTTTTCAAATTTTTAAATCTCAACACATGCTAAGTCTGGGAACAGCATTTTTAGAATCCTCTGTGTTAGGATCTCATGAAAAATTTATTAAGAAAGAGAAGGTTAATTTGGCAGGTCTGCTCATTTGCTTCAACAAATTTAATATAACAAAGGCAGTGACACACTGAATATTTAAAATGACAAGTAATTTTTTTGTCTAATGTTTGCTTCACTAGGAAATGTACATGTCTGTACATGCCAGTGGCTAATGGTAGTTCTAAACAGTAATGTATACACACACTTGTTTTTCAGTGGCAAGTCACACTCCTGTCATTGAAACTCAAGTAGATTTAATTTCTGAGAGCTTCTTAGCTTGTGAAGTTGTGAAAAACAGAATTGTATACATACAAGTACTGTTTCGAACTTTTGAACTTTATTCCTGCCTTGTTCCCCTCCTTACCTCTCCTAATCACAATAAAGGTATGAAGAAGTGAAGAAAACAGCAATACTTAACAGCTGTGCAACAGTCTTTGATCATGGCCTCAGATAATACTGTGCACTCCTTGAAATTACCACCATCCCCACATATCTGACTTCCATACCTTAAATTAGGACACTCATAGTCTTCCATGAGCCTTCTCCCTTTCACCAGCTGGAGGAAGCTGTTCTTCGTTGACTGGGGAGACCTGTCTTTTAACTGATGCCCTGAAATCAGCTACTTTAAGCAGATTATGTGAATACCCACCTCCATTTTACTCTTGGCTTAAATGGTTCCTGGACAGACAAGGTCTTTGGACATAGGCAGAGATTTAATATCCAGTTAAAGTGGAAGGGTTTCTGAATTTCATTCACCTTTTGTTACTTCCCTTCTGTAAAACTTCTGAACTGCCTTCATATTTGTCTGCTAAATGATTCAAAACAAAGGACCAGTCTGTTTATCAGTACAGCTCTTTCTGAAGCCTGGCTTCTGTCAGGAGCCAGGATGGTGCCATATAAAACTAGCATGGTGCCCAGAGAAATTGTGAATGCCCCTTCCTTGGGAGTGCTCAAGGCCTGTTTGGAAGGGGCTTTGAGCAGCCTGGTCTGGGGGAAGGTGTCTCTGCCCAGGGCAGGGAGGTTGACTCTGTGTCAAACATTTTGTAAGATGTCGTGCTCCTTTTGGGGGAGAGTGAATGAAAGGCTGAGGTTGTGAGTTAGGATTAGGATGTTAGACATTAGTGAGAACCTCTGTGACATTCAGTCTCTGCTGTAGTCTCTTCCTGGTTTGGTGTACGACCATACTCCAGGGCAAGGAGTGGCACTGTACCTGTTTTAGGCAGGTATAAACTGAACTTTTGTGAAGTCATTCAACCATGGATATACCCAAACAGGTTCCAGCTTTTCTTATTTACAGGAATGCTCAGACCTGCTTGCTTGTTTTAGGCTGATTGATTTAGCTGGAAAGGGGATCAGACACTGAAAACCATAAGCAGGGGGCTGTTCCTCACTGGCCTATTCTTGTATTTCAGGTGTTCTACCACATTATGTAGAGGGTATTGCTCAGGCTTGTAGTCCTGCTCTGAATGTCAGGTGGGCTGTGTTGTTAGGGGCTTTACTCTGGAAGCTAAATTCGCTACACCTATAATTTAGGGTATGGTTTTGTCAAACATTGTAATTCTTTATTCTCCACTCTAGTGCTGAGAGGTATTGATATTGACTAGATACCTTTATTTTTTAATGAAATTTAATTTATGGAAACTTAATTGACTTGTGATTGTAGTGGTCAGTTGTTTGCCTTAATTACTCAACAGACTTCTAAACAGTGGGGTTGTTCTTCCAAGACCCTGGTTTTAAGAGTTCCCTATTGAGAACTTACGGCAACTTACTTGGCCTTAATATTTGTTTGCTAATCTTGAAATAATTGTTTGGGTTTGTCAAACATACTTTCTTCTCCCATCTACCTTACTTCCCTCAATACCCACCCCCTCAAAAAAAACCAAAACAAAACAAAACAACAAACAAATCAAATGAAACCCTGTTTTGTGTAGCTTGGGATGTTGGGTGTCCATCTTAAAAAAACCCCATAAACCAAAAAACAAACAAATAAAAAAACCCCAAACTAAAAAAAAAAACCAAACAACAAATCCCCACATGAAAATCCCCTACAAACTGACTAGTACTTGTGGTTATGTTGTCTCAAGGTGAATTGGGCAGTTGTTTGAGGGTAATTTAAATAGTCATTTTGCCTTTTTGACTTGGAATAGGGTCTTGTAATAAAATACAGTGTGAAACTTAGGATGCTTAGGATTGAGGAATAGCAGATATGGCAAACTAAAGTAACTTGATTCTTCCACCCTATTTCATGAAAATGTGGAGTATGTCTCAAAGGTGTTTAGGATTATCTGAGCTGCACAAACTTCCTCGACTGTCCTTTCAGTATTAATTTAGTGGGAAGTGCCCACTGTACTGTAACACAGCCCTCTCTTTGTGTCCTAAAGCTGTACCTTTTGCAGAGGGAAATGGTTGCACAGAGGGTAGGCCTAAAGAACTTGATGAAGGCACAAGGTGGAATTTAGGGGATATTGCTGAGTGCCAGTGATGACTCTGCTTGAAGTTACTTCTAGATGTGTAATTGCAAAAAAAAAAGCCCAAAAAAACACACACAAAAAAAAAACTTGAAAGGGATAGCTGCTGGCATAAATGGTGCAGAAAAGGGGGAATTTGAAATAGCTTTCTTTTGCCTTTAGAACTTGACCTCAGTTTTGACCTTATGTCTGATGTTACTGTGCATGTACTCATGTGATGACCAGATCCTTTGTGGCAGGATAGATGTGCTGTGTGTTTGTACCTTTGATACTCAGCATGTGCTTGTGGGGTTTAGGAAAAAAAAAATCTACAATAAAGAAAAACCCTCCAAAGCTCACAAAACCCAAACCATAATCATTTTTTTACATAAGTATGAACCATAAGAGCAGGAGAGTTCTGACATAAAAACAAGGGTTTGTATGACCAAGGGTATTGGAGCAGTGAAGGCAAGAGTGGAACTTGTGTTCCACAGTGGTTACTGCCCTGTGGCACAGGAAGGTCAGTGTTGACAGCAGCAGTGTTCCATTGGGTGCATTTGTGTAGTGTGAGGTCTCCTTGTGTGTATGATGGTGGTGAAGTGCTTTGTGTGTCTGTGCAGTGTTGTGTGCTGTGCTCTGCTGTACTTTCACCCGGATGTGCTGCTCTAGACATCTGCTTCACATGCATGTGTGTGTACAACTGAACAGCTGGGACATTTGCTGTCAGGCTGTCTCCTCCTCGCTCTTTGTGCTTTGCAAGGACCCGTGTTACCCTGCCCAGGCTGACAGCTGGATGCAGCTCCGTACAAAGGGAAAAACGTGTGCTCCGTTTGGGTGGATGGAGTGCCTGTTCTCTCCCCTTGGCCTGTGCTGGGCTGAGGTGTGCTCCACATCAGTACAGAGACCCAAAATGCAGTGATCTGGTAGCAGCTGCTGCCAGCTAATTCCTAATACAACATTTAATTCAGTTCTGTGTTAGCTGCAAGGCTAATAAAGCAGAGCAGTAAGCAATTAACTGAAATAAACATAAGAGAGCTTTTTACAGAGACTGACAGCACAAACAGGGAAGTGTCCTTGAGCTCCCTACAGAATTTGGATGTGTTTGTTTTATAGGTTGTTGCTTCTGGAAAATAAGTGGAAATGTATTAACCCTTAAAAGATTTCTTCGCTCCGTAAGAAGAATTTACAGCTTTTGAGGACAAGACTCTTTCTCAAATCTGCTGTTCTCTTTAGTCCATATAATTTTGACAATCACATACTGATATGTTAGATCTTTACTGTAAGCTTAAGGAAACTTTTCTGCATTAAAGACATTTGTCATTGTTTGCTAAAATAATTTAAATGGCTAAACATGTACAGCTAAGATAGGATCCCTACAAGCTCACTGTTCAGAACTCAAGACTGCAGCTCTTTGGGAAGTTAATATTTTGCAATGAGTGTGATTTATTCAACATTTTTATTTATTTGTTTATATTTTGTATTTTGCCATGAACCATAAAAGAAAAGCACTGCTAGCACAAAGCAGCTGTTGAGCAACTAATTTCTCTGGACAGGCATGTACCAAGTTACCAGTTTCAACTGTATGAGACTTGAGAAATTCCTGGTTAATGAAAGTTCACTACAGTGAATTTGTGACAGGTGTACCTTGTTTGTTGAAACTGATGTCTTAGTTTAAAAATGTAAGAACTTCAGTGCTTTATCTGCAGTGTTTGAATTCTGAACAAATGCTTAGACACCAATTTATTTACAGACCTTCTTAAAAAAAACAACCCTTGTAATTTGTTGCAGCTGAATTGAATAATGTTTATAGAATTATGGATGGATGCACATTTCTGAGTTGTAGCTTTTCTACTCAGAACCACGTTTTTATAATCTATATGTTTTATCTTGATGTTGCAAATTGTAATGTGTGGAAAAAGTTCTGAAGATGTTGGGATGTTTTGAGTTTTTATCATCAAACCATGAAGTGCTTTTTAAAACACCTATTAAATACCAAGAGTGTGTGTCATTTGATAGGAATGTATTGTAGGACTAAAAGGTTATCTGTAAGAGTATTTGCATGTATATGTGTGCACACAGCAAGTGGGGTGCTTGCAGTGTTTTGGGGAAAAGGGTTTTTACTTATTTTTCTTTAATTGCTGTGTCATTTGATACTACTATTCTGCTCCTTACTGACAGAGTAATGGGTTTAGAGCAGAATTATGTCTTGGATTTGTATCAGTGTGAGATCAGAGTGCCCTTGATACTTAAATCACTGTTACTTAAACACAGCTATGTCTTTCTCAGTCTGCTGTGGGGAATTTGCACAGCTTTTACTGATGGTTGAATAGTGCACTGTTCCTTGAACAGTGCAACATCCATGTCAGTGGCTCGGGAGTTATGTCACCAGTGGGGTGGGGGTGTCACACAACCTTTTGTTGTTGTAAGGCTGTGGTTTCGAAAGTAAAAAAGTGTCAGTAACTCGTGTGTAGAGGGAAGGGGGAAATGCAAAGTGGTGTACTGTGGTGATGGGGGTGTATCATGTGGTGAATCTTTAAAATGCCACAGTGGTATATGTGAGTTGCTCATTTTGTAATTTATTTTTACAACAGGTTCCCGTAAAGAATCAGCTCCTCAAGTCCTGCTTCCAGAAGAAGAAAAAATTATTGTAGAAGAAACTAAAAGTAATGGTCAGACTGTTATAGAAGAGAAGTAAGAAAATGTTTAATGAATGATGAATTAAAGTAGTAAACTTTGCACTCTTCTTCCTCCTCCTGTCTCCCATTATAGTAGGGTGTGTGTGGTATGTTTGTAGTTGGAATGGAGCTGTTTGGAGTATGCTGCCAGTCCTCCAAGTGCAGCTGGCCTTCATTGAAGTGCCTGGTTTCTTTGTATATGCTGTGCAACCTATCCCACCCATGCCAAGCAGTGACGTGCTTCACTTACAAATAATTTTTCCAAGTGCTGTCAGAGTTCAGTATTAAATTGGTGTCATCCTTCTAGATAGCATGTGGTGTCGTTCTACTTTTTTGGTAAAGTGTGTGTTGGAAATGAAACTGCAGTTGTGTTCTAAAAAGCTTTAATGCAGAAACCAGCAGAGGTCCATAAGTGCTTGAGAGGTGTTTTTTGTCACAGAAGCTAGTAACAAGTTTTTGCCTTACTGAGTATAAATCAAGATTAGAGACAGTTTTGTTTTTTTTTTAACACAGGTTTGAAATCAGCTCTTAGGTTGTGGGGTGTTTTTTATTTAATTGCATGTCATTAAACAGTTTTGCCTAATAATAGATTTAGATGTATATTTCTGAAAACTGTTGTTACAGATGATCTTTTTTTCATTTTAGAAGCCTTGTTGACACAGTATATGCGTTAAAGGATGAAGTACAGGAGTTAAGACAGGTTGGTAACTTGCTATATTTATAGCAACATGGAGAATGAAAAGATGGAAGGCTTGTTATAAAACTGAATATGGCTTGCAAGTTCACTTTGACACTCAGGAGCTTAAATTTTGGACTAGATTTACTTTTAAAAGTAAAATATCATTTGCCAAGAAAACATTCCCTGTTGTCATCAATCTTTTGAGAATAGCATTGAGGATTGCTTCTCTGAAGTGAATTACTAAGCTGGTTTTGGATGTTGCAGCTTCTGAAATGGTGGAAGTGTTAAATTCAGTTGTGGTGTATCATCAGCAAAGCTTACAGAGACTGAGAAATCATAGTTGACAAAGACCTAAGTAGAACCAGATATTTATAGTTCTAAAATGATACAATCTTAAAGTGACCTGAACACCTCTATGGATCAGTTCTTAAAACTGCTCATTTCCAGAGACAAGAGTCCTTTTCAGTGCTTATCACATGGCTTTTTAAAAATGAGGGTTTCACAAAAGCTTTGGATGCCTTTTTGTCACTTATTCTAAATATCCACCAAGATTAAATAAAAATACCACCTTATCAAGGCATAGCTTGTTTTAATCATGTTAATGGTGCTGCATGTAGACTTTGCTTAATGTGTAAGTGGAAAGAAGCATTGGATTTTCCTCACTATGGAAGGTGTGAATTTGCTTACCAGTGTGACTCCAGAAGTTGGATAAAATTTCTTGTGTTAATGTAAAAAGGATTTGTGTTCAAAATTCTTCAGATCTGGGGCTATAAATGTGATTTTCTTTTTACCATCTATAACCATGCCTACTGTTTCTAAGGCTGTCATGCATATTCCTTGAAATAGGACAGTTGATGTATTGCATACTTGAATTCTGCTGGGTTCAGCTTATAAAGAATGAGTATCCCAGGTTAGAGCTGAATTTGGCAGTCTTTAAAAAAATACAATGCATATAATAAAAGCAGCAGTAATAGCCCACTACTACTCCTGTGGCCTCCTGCTCTTGTACAAAGAATAGATGTGCTGCCTCACTGAGGCTCTGCACAGCTCCATGACCCTTAAACAAAAAGTCACCTTCTCCTAAGCTTCATGCAACAGCTCTGTTTTCTGGTGTCTTTTCAAATAGATGTTCTTCAGAATGTTCTTCATCTTCCAAGCCAAAACGTATTAAAGCCTGATTTCATTTTCTTACATACCAGGAATTCAGGAATCTTATCTTAAAAGCATTTATTGGTCCACTGCTGTGATGCTGCCAACCAGAGAAGGGGCAGAAATGATCTCTGAGCTGGCAAGGGCTTTTTGGATAAAGGCTCTCTGGGAGTACATGGTGTCCTGGTTGGTGTAGACACCAGACTGCAAAGTGGGATCCTTCCTAGAGCAGCTTCCATCAGTTATCCATAGCTGTTGTTCCACAGGCAATACACTTGAACTGGTCCTGAATTGGCAGACTTAACTTAAATCTGTTCCTACATAAAATACTGAACTTTCCAAGTTTAACAGACTTGAGGAGGGAATGGAGTTAATGAGGTGACAGACCATGGTTGTGTGTACAGACCATGTCAGACCATGGCTGTGTGTACAGAGCAGAGAACAAGAAGCTGCAGAGCAGTGCCACAGAAAGAGACCTGTGGGTCCTGGTCCATGGCAAGTTGAACTTGTCAGCAGTGTCCTGGCAGCCAGGAGGGCCAGCCCTGTCCTGGGGGCATCAGGCACAGCATGGCCAGCTGGGCAAGGGAGGGGATTGTCCTGCTCTGCTCTGAGCTGGGGCAGACCTCGAGTGCTGGGGCAGTTTTGGGTGCCACAATAAAAGAAAGACATTGAAGTATTGGAGAGTGTTCAAAGGAGAGCCATGAAGATGGTGAGGAGCCTTGAGGGGAAGCTGTGTGAGGAGCAGCTGAGGTCACTTGGTCTGTTCAGCATGGAGAAGAGGAGGCTGAGGGGAGAATTCATTGTGGTCTACAGCTTCCTTGAGAGGGGAAAAAGAGGAGTAGGTACCAATCTCCTCTGGTGACCAGTGTCAGGACTTGAGGAAACAGCATGAAACTGAGCCAGGAGAAGTTCAGGTTAGATATTAAGGAAAGGTTTTTCACCCAGGGGGTAGTTGGGCACTGGAACAGGCTCCCCAGGAAGCCAAGCACCCCAGTCACAGCACAAAGTCTGTCGGAATTCAGGAAGCATTTGGACAATGCTTTTAGGCACATGGTGTGATGTTCTTGGGGTGTCCTGTGCAAGGTCAGGAGATGAACTTAATGATCTTGATGAGTCCCTTCCAACTCAACTCATATTCTATGGTTTCATAATCCCATCCTTTTTCTAAAATGTCTGTAAAGGATAGCTAATGGGAGTCCAGTTGGACCCCTGGATTGAAGGCCTATGTTTGTTAAACACCATTAGACTTGTCTTAGGGCCTTATTTCAATGTTATTTTATCTTCTGGTTGCTTCCCTACTGTTCCCAGCATCACCTTGGCCTGTACAGGATTAAACAGTGTAAGCATTCCTGTGGGTTGGTCCCTGTCATCCTTATGGTCCTGTTGTTCATTTATTTCAATATTGCCTGATGGTACTAAACAGTGAGAACTCACTTGCTAATGTACATGTGGAGAGATGATGTTTCTTGAAATTCAGACTTCTCTTAGATTGCTGGTAGTCATCAGTCTAGTTTAAAATCTAGTCACAAAACACTTTTCAGAGAATGTATTGGTTTTCAGGATACTCCTTTCAACTATTTACATTCCTAATGAAGCAAGTTGATTTGCATTAACTTTTAAGCTTTTTGGAGATTGAAACAAGTTAAAATCACAGGAGGTTCTTACAGGGGATATTTAGACTGCTTACTGCTCCATTTCCCTTCTCCATTAGCAACAAATATTTTCTACTCCTCATTGATCAGACTTGAGCAGAAGAATTAATGATTAGTAGCCATCTGTTACTAGCACTTGCTGTATAAAGCCCCCCTAAATACAAAAAGGAAGTTGCTCAGTTTCCATTTGGTAGCTTTTGTTGCATTGTGTGAAATAACTGTGTGTGACTTGTGAAGTTAATAGAAGCTTTGCTTTTGAACACCTAATATTGGTTTTACTGGGAAGAGCCTTCAGAGTTTGTAATTGACAGTGTATGTGTAGTCAGATCTGTTAGAAGCCCCAAAACCAACCAGTAATATTTCTGTCTCTGTTAAACAGGATAACAAAAAGATGAAGAAATCATTAGAAGAGGAACAAAGAGCTCGCAAGGACTTGGAGAAGCTTGTTAGAAAAGTTTTAAAGAATATGAATGATCCATCTTGGGATGAAACCAACTTATAACCACTTTTTCTTTTCCCCTTCTTCTTTCTATTGAAAGACCAGTTGTAGAACTGAGCTGGGAAGCCTTCTGACATTAGTCAGTGTTGCATCAAGAGCACTATAAAACAGGATTTAACTGGATCTAGTGATTTCTTGTTCTGAACATACAGAAAGAGTCAAGCCATTTACTGCAGCAATCTGTACTTTAAGCATGGAGACTGTGGATCCTGAACTCTACTAAACTTAATTTGTTTGCATCCAAATTACCTCATTTTGCAGAAAGTGCAGCACCTGACTAAAAGTCCATGTTTTTCAGTGGCTTTTTAATTAAATATATATTTTTCTTGTAAATAGCTGTAATTTAGAATGCATATGTGATTGATGTATCAGGGCTGATATGTTGGGGTTTTTTTCTTGTGTTATTATAATGGTCACAAGTGTTAGAAATGATGGCAGTACTGTCTTACCTAAGAAAGGTCAGAGTTCCTTGTGGATAATTATGAATTAGTTCCAAATTACCCACTCACCACACATGCAAATTTAAACCCCTGTTTTCCTATTTACCACTATATTTAAATCCTTTACTGTTACCTGTTACTTTAAAGAGTTTACAGTTCCTTAAGAACAGTATTAAAATACAGGAAATTGTTTATTGACAGTAGAAACAATTTTTAACAAATCTAATGCCCACAATTTACATTCACATACACTCGTTTGCAGACTAATCTATTGTGCTTTGGCCACCAAAAGACTGATGTACTTGCCTGCTTTTTATGACTGTGATTTTTAGGTGTTTATGTACTACATCTTCTATTGTTGTGCTTAAACATACAGCTGACTGATAACAGATCATACAGTTTGTTTAAAGGAAAAAATCAATCTAATCCAGAATTTTGTGAATAAATGGTTGCTATTTATATTTTATGGTCACAGCAGTTAAATGTTAGCTAACCTTTGTGCATAAGACACATGGGCTAGGCCAAACTTCATTCAGAGTTTTGTTTCTATACCACTATATAAGACTCTCTGATTGGAGTTCCCATACTGTGGAAGCAGTCATTCCTTTCCCACCCTTTTTTCTTTGCATGTTGCTGATTTCTGTCCTACTGGGATTTAAATGGAAAGAAATGTGGAATTAAGATTTTTTTTTTAATCGTACTGTAACTCATAATTTGCACTGCTGACAGATTTTAAAATACATAAAGGAACATTAATTCCCTAGCCTGATAGGTGCAATCACTGCAGTTTCTTGTATTTAAGATAGGAGATGATACATCACTGCAAACGGTGAGCTTCAGATGAAGCACTTAAAATACTAATCCCATTAAAGCTCATTGTTTTCATGGATTTCATCAAACTTTGGATTTGACTCCAGACAGTGCAGCTTTCTGAGGGGTTTGCATTCAGTTGAGTCAGAAGTGCAGGTATAGCACAGACTTGAGTCACACCATTTGTCATTCTGATTTTCTACTGCTCTTTTAACTCCTGCTAAATGTAACGCTCAGCGTTGAGCAAATGTTTGTACGAACTTTAGTGAGTTGGAGCCAGGATGATTTGGGTTGTAAGAATTGTCATGCACATTTTGAATCTAATGAAAAATCTACTTTTAAAGCTACCCACTTTTTTCAGTCAAGAACAGCTTTTTCTAAATAGGAAGTTCTGTCAATTACATACTTGAGAAACAATTCTATGGGAATGGATGCTTCATAACCTGAGTAGACAAGTTGTCTCTTTTAGAAAGCTGAATATATTTGTGTCTTGTGTTCCTGCAATTTAAAAATGTTTTCCTTTAATTCTAAAGGAGGAGAAAATGAAAAACATCTACGTTACCAGTTCTATATATTCACAGAATTTTAAATTTGTTAATTATTGTTACCAAAATCTTCCCTTGATGTTTGCGGTTGCACAAAATTGTGGACTGACGTTTTATTTATCTTCGCATTTGGAAAACATCCTTGCTAAAAACTAAGTGATACTAACCCCTGCAAATGCATGCTATCATAGCCAAATTTAGACTTGGGGAAACCAATATAATTAGAATTTTGCTAACATTTTCACTTTTTGAAATCCAGGGTATTTTCAGAGTGATTTTTAATTTTCAATTCAGCATATGTGAAAGGACATTCCAGAGGAAGAAGTATAAAAGGAAAACATTAAGCTTAGCAGTATTTAGCAAATTTTAACTCAGGAACAACTTCCATCATAACAATCTGTTTTGCATTATATTGTAAAGAGTGCTGTTGCTATGTAAATCTGCTGACTCTTAGTACCTGTGATATTAATAATTTCTGACAGTACCCCTACATTGACATCTAATGAACATGCCTTAAACACTGGGATGAAGCAGTTGTTAAGTATGACCAGGACTTAGGGACTGATTTTATTCAAGGTATATTGGGAGGACTAATTTTTACCAACACACACACACACACAAAAAAAGGAGGCAGAAAAGAGAACTGACCTAATGTTGTAGGTAGGTACCTAATGTTTGTCTCCAGTGCAGAGAGCAGCTTCTGACTTTTGGGAACCAAGAAGTACCTGAACTTGTTTTCATTTGCAATTTGTTACAGTGTATATAGATTGTAAATGTCACCATGGACCTTCTGAATTGTTGGAAACTTTACATAAGCATGGATAAATGGGGCACTGTTTATTTAACCTATTAAAGGGTTGTTTGTTTGCTCTCATCATTTAGGGATGAGGAGATGAAGCCATTTCTTATCCTATAGATGTGAAGCACTTTCAGTACTGAATTGTCCAAAATGTAGCATAACATTTCTCTGTACTTACTGATGTATGTGTGTTTGTCTCACCATGTCATGACATCCTAAAGATTGAATAACTGACTGCTTTTGTATAAACCTTTTTAATGCAAATCATTTAGGGAATTTAGAGTATCTGTTTACAGTGTCTGTGAAGAACTCTAGTTTAGATGTCACAATAATATCCTGGTATCCACTACTAAAGCTTTTATGCTACATTGTAATTAAACCATGAATTTTTTCCCCTACCCTATGAAGTGTTATGTTTCATCTAATATGTGAGTTATGAGATAAAGGGAAATTGCTTTAATTTTTTTGCTGTTCATATAAATAAGCACCTCTCCAATTTAGTAGCTGCTATACTATCTTGAAAGAGCTTTTTCATGGTCTTTTATAATAGTAAATTGATGCCTGGAGAAAAAAAAAACAACGACCAAACAAAGTGAGGGTTGTTTGGAGGGGTGAGAAGGAGGATCTTACCTGTCTTACATTGAGAAATGTTTGCTTTATTTGGCAACCTGATCTGCTCAGGTAATGTAAGAAATTGAGGAGATGAAAGACAGAAAATAGTGAAAGGAAATACAGCAGGAAACACCAGAAACTGCATCAATTGAGTAAAAAATGTCTACATACATGAGTTATCTAATAGACAGAAATTTGTGATGTGTGTACCACAGAGACTTTTTGTGGTTGGTGTTGCCTGAAATAGAGGGAGGGGGTGATTTTTATGGTAGCAGAATCATCAGTATGGCTTTATGCCAGATGGTGGGATGGGTTGAGGAAAAGTGCAGGGAGCCATTTGTTTGAAAAGATGGTTTCAGTCTTTGGTCAAAGCATTTGAAGGGATTAGTAACATGTTGGGTGTGTGAAATCATAGATTTATTCCAGCTTAGTTCAGCAAGGACATATACTTACAACAGAGGACTTTATTTGTAGCGGTTTATAATTATCTTCAGAAGTCTCACTTTGCAACTTTTCTCTGGGTTCATCACTGTAAAGATGGACATTTGACACAATTTGAAATGGTCATTTTCTTGTCACCTGAAGTGTTTTGGGGATTTTGCTTTTTGAATGCTTTTTATTGTGGTGGATTGACCACTGCTGGCTGCCAGACCCTCACACAGCCACTCTCTTACTCCTCACCCTCAGCAGGAGATGGGAGAAGGAATAAGATGTGCATTGAGAAGAAAAAGTTTGTGCATTGAGATAAAAACCACTGATTTCTTACTGTTCACAAACAAAAAGCCACCTTTCCCTTACCCTACTTCTTAGGCTGACCTTGACTCTTCCAACTCTATTGCCCCTGTCTTCCCCTCTCCCCACACCAAGCAGTGCAGGAGGGTGGGAACGGGGGTTTTGGTCTGTCCATAACAATTCCTCTTTCCTGCTCCCCCTTCATGCTTTTCCCTGCTCCAGTGTTGGTCTTCTCCACGGCTGGCAGTCCTTCAAGGATAGATGTACTCCAAGGTGGGTTCATCCTGGGCTACAGTTCCTGCCAATGATCCTGCCCCACTGAGGGCTCACTATGGACTGCAGATTCCTTCAGTGCATCTGCTGCAGTGTGGACTCCTCCATGGGCCATAGGGGAAAACCTGCTGCACTGTGGTGTTCTCTACACCTACAGGGCAGCCTTCTCCAGCACCTGTGGCACCTTGTTCCCCTGCTTCTCCAACCTTTTAGGTGTTTACAGGACTTTGTTGCCCTTCTGCCTTGCTGCTGCACTCTAAAATGGGTGTTCCTCAAGGCACTACCATTTGTCTGAGGCTTAGCTGTGTCCTGCTTGTTCAAGGGATGTCTCAGTTACATCCTGTTGGACTGCTACACCTACCAGGCTCAGAAATTCAGGTGCAGAACTTGCTGTTACCCACTTTTACACCTTCATTTGCTGTGATATGTCATGAGAAGGGAAAAGGAGCATGTAAGCCTTGATTATGGGACTGAGGGGCCTACAATATTCAGGGGTGGTGTGGGTTAATGTGTGTGTGTCTCTAGATACTCTGTAAGTCCCACCATGTTGATGCTGAAGGGTCCCAGAAAAGGGGGGTTCACACTTTGGAGAAATGCTGAGATGAAATTTGAGATTAATTTGCTCTGCAAGACATGCTTCATTGTCTGGAAAAGGGATGGAGGCTTGCCCTCTTGGAAGGGGAGCTGAGCCTGGGTTTGGAACTAAATTAACCTCCAGAGCTCTCCAATACTTTGAGTGGCTGCCTTAAAGGCACTGTCTAGGCCTAAATCTAACTTGTGTCCTTAGGAAGAAATGAGAGCTACAGTTCTGCAAGTTACTATGAATAGTTACAACTTGTGTACCAATTACTTAGTGCAGGTCTTCACAGTGCAAAATTTGCTCAGGTGCTCCCATTAGTTCCTGCACATTCTCACTGATCTCATTGTGTTTCTCTGTTGATCATGCCCAGGCTCTCCTTTGTGCATGGCAGAGCTCACTTCTGTGGTATTCTTCTCCCTGTTCACTGTCATGAATCCATCCCATCCCCCATCTGTATGGGTGTGCACACCTGCAGGCATATCTGCTGGATTTCCAATAACATGGCAGTGCTAACCAGCCTGGGAAAGGAAGCATATTTTGCTGAATCCAAAACTTAGCACTGTACCAGTTAGTGAGAAGAAAATGAGCTCTGTCCCAGTTGAAACCAGGACAGACCTTTTCCTAATGTCCATTCTACTGTCATATGCAGGCCTGGTGAGATTCTCCAAACAATTAATTTTATTTCTTAGTGTATTGCTAGCCACCTCTTGTCAGTCAAGCAGCCTGTGTGTTTGCAGTAGACAGAGATTAACGATACAGAAATAGCATGTTTTTGCAATATTTTTCCAGCAGGGGACTGTGTTAGCTTCTCCTATGTCAGAAACTACTCACTTTCCCTGAATTTGTTAATATTTCTACTTTTGCATGCTTTATAACCAAATGGAGTTAGCTTTTTGTATATTTTGGAGCAGCTTTTCAAGCTCCAGTAGGTACAGTCTATTAAATACCTTTTGTCCTGTAGTACAGAGGTAGACAGTCACAGTTGTAAGTGTTCATGTAGCACTTCCCCTTGGCACACATGGCTTGTTTTAGCTTCTGTACATTCAGCATCACAGGCAGAATTCCAGAGGAACTGAGAAAAATCTACTGCTACAACATCTAATGAAATCTCCATTCTGAGACTGAATTGAGAAAACTGACATCATTCAATGCATGCTCCATCCACTGCACTTGATTTCCTCACTGCTGGGAATTTATGATATAGGACTGTATCACTTAACAGTGCTGGGAGGGGCAAAGAGCCGTGCCTTGAGGGAGCTTGCTAACTTCCCTTGGTAACTTGCCTGAAGATAAGCGTTTGAAAATAGAGGTTCAAGAAAGTGCCCCTGCCATGCCATGCCCACCAGATTTTCACCAGGATTTCTGTCAGTGCATCCAAACCTGGCTGCATGTTCTACTGTCTGTCTCATCTCCACTTGTCAGGTCCCCACTGAGCCTTCTTTACCAGGCTAAACAGTTCCAGCTCCTTCAGCCACTCCTATGATTCATTCTCCAGACCCTTCACCACCTCTGTTGCCCTTCTCTGGACACACTCCAGTGCCTCAATGTCCTGCAGTGAGGGCCCAGAACTGAACACAGCACTGGAGGCGTGGCCTCATTGGTGCTGAGTAGAGGGTGACAATCCCTGCCCTGCTCCTGCTGGCCACACCATTGCTGATACAGGCCAAGCTGCCATTGGCCTTCTTGACCACCTAGGAACTGCTGGTTCATGTTCAGCTGCTGTTGGCCAGCCCCTCCTGGTCCTTTCTTCCAGGCAGCTTTCCAGCCTCTCTGCTCTGCAGTGCTGCCTGGGGTTGTTGTGACCCAAGTGCAGGACCTGACACTTGGCCTTGTTGGACCTCACACCTTTGGCCTCGACCCATCAAACCAACCTGTCCAGATCTCTCTGCAGAGCCTTCCTGCCCTCCAGCAGATCAATATCCTGCTCAACCTGGCAGTCTGCAAACTTACTGAGGGTGCACTTGGTCCTCACATCCAGATTGCTGAAGATATTAAACACACCTGGCCTGGAGATGAGCTCTGGGGAACACCCCTGTGACCATCCAGCAGCTGGATGCAACTCCATTCACCACCATTCTCTGGGTCTGGCCATCCAGACAGTTTTTCACCCTTTGGGCAGCACACCCATCTGTGCCATGAGCAGCCAGTTTGTCCAGGAAAATGCTGCAGGAGACAGTTTCAAAGGCTGCAGGTAAACAACAGCTAAACAGCAGGGATGGCCCACTGGTGGTACTTTTAAATCCTTACCCATCTGTGACTGTGAAGTGATGGAAAGTGTCTCAATGAAGACTTCCACCAGTGCCCCCAGTATGCTCAGGTGAGTCCCATTCAGCCCCATAGGCTTGTGTGACTAAGTGGTGTAGCAGGTCTCCTTGGATCATGGGAGCTTCGTGCTGCTCCCCATCTCCCTCTTCAAGTTATGGGGCTGCTATTTTGGAATCTGTTTAGGCTTTAAAACAATTTAGATGAACTGGGTTCTATTAGGAAGTGAAATGCAAGAAATGCAAGATATTTCTTCAATATTTCTTCAGTGCAAGAAATAATGTAACATTTCAACGTGTTTCAATGTATTTCCCACTAGTAGGGAAGCACTTGATTCAAAGAAACAGCATATAATTCTCTGGCTATTCTGAATGACTTCCTGCTCATTAAAGATTCTACCTTATTCGGGTGGAATCAGATCAGCATCAGATATTATCAACATCCAACATGGATCTGATATCTGATATCATCCAACATGAAGAGTTCTGTGTTCTGCAAGTCTGCATATAAAGAGCTCAGATGCATCTGTGTAAGCTGAGAGGCACTTGGGGCATGGCAGGAGGAAAAGTAATTTTTACCATAATCATTATACATGTCTGTAAGGCTGGAATCATGTGCACAGCCTGATGTGGTGTGTGCCAGGAGGATTCTTCTTGGCAGAGACTTTGGCAGGCTAGTTCAACCACCCTGTGGAAACAGCAGTCATGCTTTGAGCTGCGCTCCAAACCAAAAGCATGGTGGAAGTGGGTTTGCAAGCAGGGAAAGTAGGCAACCTGGTGCAAAGGCACACTATGGGGGAAAAAGGAAACAGAGAGCTGTGTCATGGGGCTGACTTGTGATGTAAGAAAACCACAGTGAAAATGCCCTTGTCTCACAATCCTGATAGGGGAAGCACTGCTGTGCTCCTCCAGCAGGGCAGCATGTCCTGTGTGCTGC